GACATATGCAAGCATAACTGAAGAAAATAAACGGCCATTGGGATTTTTAAAAGGGACCATACCATACAATGATCCGACCAGACCTAACCCATGTATCAAAATTAGTGGTGTAAATGGAAGGCGGATTGAGATAATGGTAATAAGGCTTAAAACATATTTATAGAAAACTACTCAGCTATCACCAATAAATATGTGATAGTTATAGTGAGATTTTGTTATATAGTATACTCATATAATACATGTACAGTGTAGGACATAACAATTCCACTCATTAGGCTAGTGTCTTTCCAAATTTTTTTTTTCATTAACAAAGTAAATTTTGTGTAATGAGTTCCTAAAGAAAAAACCTGGAAAAAATTAAAAGGTTGGATTTTTTTTTCTTCAACCTGTGTGGTATGGTTTAGTTAGTATGGTAATGGACTAGTGAACAATGAAGGCAGTTTTTTGGGGGGGAGAGGGCCTACAAATTTAAGATGCACTTTTCATAATTTCAGGCATTTTGTCAACTTTCAAGTTTTACTTACATACATCACTTAGAATGAATCAATTGAAATTTATGTTCCAGTGTTTGTGAATCGAAGAGAGCATTTCATTAAATTGTTTGGCAATTATGTGGAATTAGAATGTTGATTTTAAGTCCTAGCACTTTTCAAGTACCATGTTTACAAACCTTGGTAGATATAATGAGATTAAGCTTGATTAGATGAATCACCATGGAGATGATCGTTATATGTCCACTTTTGGTATTAAATATTTAGCAAACTGATCACTGGTGATAAGTTCGGCTACATGGAGTGTTCTAATTATGCTATTAGCTTACACCTAACAGGGCTCTCACCAGGGAATATTCAGGGTATGGTGGAAAGATCTTCAGCATAAGCATTCAGTCGTGATAAATCATATTTATGTTAATTGTATTCTTTTTACATGCTAATATTGTCTATTTAGTCAACTTTAGACTGTGGGAACAATCAGTATATGCCAATAGGTTGTGGTGGGAGCTAAATAGACTGTGGTGCTGCGCCACAATCTAAAAGCCTAGTGAGAGCCCTGCCTAAAGTGATGGCTTATTTGTGTTGAGCTGAGCCAGCTATACAAAACCCATCTTCAAACACTTGATAAGCAAAGTTTTTTTAAAGATTTGCTTGAAGCCTTTTTGAAGCTACCTACATGTACCACAACTGCAACCTATAGAGTGTTGGTTAAAGTTAGATCATTCTAACATTTTTATGCCACAACCACAATTGGTGGCATATTGTTATTATCTCCAACTTTTTTGTGACGGCATCCAATGGTCGGTGTTTGGCATTTGTATCAAATGGCAGATGGTGACATTTTGCATGTTAAAGCCTTGTTACAATTTTTCATTTAACATGGTATTCATCATCTGATGTATTGTGTTCTGTTTACCACCAATGAAGGTAACATTTTCTTTTGGGTATATATTCCATATTTATTGATGTTAGCCTTTTCTATGACTATTAGTCATTGACTATGTAAACTAGGATACTTAAAAGATTTTGACTATGTAAACTGACTATGTAAACTAGGATACTTAAAAGATTTTGACGAAACAAGTAAACTAGTTTTGACTAAAGCAGTGGTCAAATCCAGGGGCATTACTAATAGGTACAACACCCTCTGCCACTGAGCTGTATTGGTACAAACTGTTCTTGAGATAAACTGATTGATTGTTATGTTTTTTCAGGCAGAAACTGATCCCATCGCAAGACTTTGGTAAGCTAGAACTTCTATTACACTTAATACATAGTCTCAACATATACATTTAATTTGCTGGGTCTTACGTATGAATGTTTTTGTTAGCTCTAAATATATAATGCAGTTCATTTAATGCTTTTCAATAAAATTCAATTTTGTGCCCTCAAATGAGCAGGAAAGAGAACTGTTTCACGTCAGTATTGTGATTTCATGGTTGTAAACTGATATGGCTTTCAAATGAAGCCATTTGTATCAGTCATTCTCTTTTAGACATTTCATGAAATATTGTTATGCGTTGCTTTATTTTTTTGCTCTATTTTACTTTCAGTGTAGCTATAAGGTAAAACAATATGTTGACCAATACTGCACAATCCACATACCAATCCATAGAATTAGGGCTCCAGAGATCATCTACTTCGCTCCTTCCCAAAACGTCAATCATCCAGGGAGATTAAAGGAAAAAAGTAGATGGTGTCTGGAACTCTGCGATTAGTGGATGACATCCCATGGTGTACCCGGCCCTAACAATTTCACTGAGACTATCCAGGCTCCGCTGACATAGCAAGCAAGGAGCTCATTTGTAGAAGCGGGGCCTTGTGATATATGATAAATTGAAATATAAAAATTTTCTATGAAACTTTAGTAAGTGAAATTCAGTACAAGTTTATTTCATAGTATAATTGCTATTTCAATAGCAGGGCAACGACGTTCTTCAATTATAACTATATTTTATATCTCTCAAGGCCCTGATTCTAACTCGAGCTCGATTGCTCGCGATGTCAGCGGGAACTTGCTCGTGATATACGGGGCCTGGATAGTCACCATGAATTTGTTTCAATAACATGTTTTCATTTTAATGTTTTGAATTAGGAGGTTTAAAGCAATTTTTCACATAAAATTACCAACGAAGATCTACAAATAACACACAAAATTTCCCTTGACCATATGTAAAATAGTTCTTCACCACAATTCATGTTCATGTTGGAAGTAAGGTTTTATTTCCCTCACATGTAGGTTCACAATATTTTTCAAATCAATTTACAATGAAGTGCGTATAATCACTTTTAAATGGCTAATTAAACTATTTTTAATTCATAATGTTTGTAACTCACACTGACTATCAATAGACTTGGAAATAAATCTTTTTTCTGAAGTTTCTGAAGCTCACAAAATAGTTCATGTAGAAAATTAATTTTTTCAACTTGGAATCTGTCAGCTTGCTTTCTTAAACAGGCATTTCTCATGCATTGATATGTCCAAGTCTATTGATCACATATTTATTATGAATTGAAGATATTTTAGAGCTGTTTAGGTTCAGATTTAACAATTCAAAGTTTGTTTTCAAATATTTGAATGAATGAGTGAATCATTTTATTTCAGATAATGAACATTAAAAGTTCATCAAAATTTCAAATGAATCAATTTCTGAGATTTGTGGTCCTCACCCATAATACCCCACCAGCCACGATCTGATATTCAATGCTTATATTTCAGTGTAACAGATCAAAACGCGGCCAACCAGTTATGTGAACAACACAAGATATATGAGTGCAGACAGGCAATGGCTGACACAGTGTATTTTGAATATTTCTGTGATGCCGCCTGCTCTGAGGATGATGTCACATTTTGGTACAGATTCGTTATAAGTCCACCAGGTCAGTAAGAAAAAAGATTTATTTTCTGGATGGAGAAAAGAATGACATATCACCTCCAATGCCTGTCATTTTATCATATAGGATATCAACTGGAGATAAATATATCACCCGCTCATCAGCATTCCCCTGGAATTTAGTTTTATGTTAAGAGATAAAATATTCATATTTTGATTCTAATTATCATTTGTAATTATTACATGAGGGTTCCATAACATTCAATGCATACTTAATAGTCTACTCCTCTTCATTATCTACTAAGTATAGGATAAACCAGTTATAAAATGCTCGATTTTGATACAGGGTATATCCTTCTGTAAATACAATATATCAACCCTTGGCCCTTTGGATAGATATATTGTATTTCCCTCAGATATGCCCTGTATCAAAATTCAAAACCTCCCATTAAATAACCTGTAGGGATTCTGTTTGCAATAACATCATTGATGTTGCTATTTCAGGAATGAATGACCCAGAGATGTGGTGTTTTGAAAGGAATACAGCGGAATATCCAGACAGCCTAGCTCCAATTGTGCCAGGGTTAACCCCACCCCCTAAACAGCCTCCCCCCTCCAATAGGGCAACAAGTATCGATTTACAGTTCCCTACCTACATTATTCTTATTTCTGTGTGTCTTCTCCTGATTGCACAGAGGAATTAGGCCAAGGAAATAGGCCAGTTGTTTAACGGTACTGTAGTCTTATTTCTCCAGACCAAGAAATCCCATATAAATTTTGTGAAACCCTCATTGGATAAAGGAGTAAGGCTAAGAAATTGACTGATTTGGTTCATAGCTCCATTGTATAATGGGAACCAACATTCTATTTTGCAATAAACATCTTGCCAGTTTTTATAGATCCGATTCATTTATGGATAGACATTAGAAGGCCAAGAAAATAACTAGGTTGAGTTAGGACAGAAACATTATTGAAATGTGCAAGATGGAAATTAGTCTCTCCCCAAAGTGCACATCGAAATTGATGGATGTTGATATTGACACTTAATTTTATTTTAGAAATATCAAGTATACTTGTATACCTCAACTAAGCCTTTCTGAGAGTTGAAAGAAAAAGTTATTTTTGAAAATAACTTAAACAATGTATGATTTGGAGAGAATATCTGGTCCTATATACAGACCTTAATTTTACCAACTAGGAAATCATAAATTCATGGATACAAAAGTTTTATTACAATCACAAAAAAATAAGACCAGATAACATCCTTAATGATGATCTTTGTCATTTTTAAGGTTTCAAATTTTAAGACATTCCGCTTAAAGATGCTTTTGTATCTTTTAAGTAAAATACTATGCATTTTGTTTTGTATCATACTGTATCATATCATAGTAATACAAATGTAGTGTAGGTAAAGGCTGATTTTAACCTGTATTTGCATTATAGAATTTATACAAAAGTGGGACCAATTTTATAATGCTTTATGATATGATCATATTGTAAATAATTTAACATTATTCGTACATATAATTGTCACTGGAGCTAGATTATAACATTGTATATTTTTATAATATCTGATAGATAGACATAATTTATCTCTTTTTTAACACAAAATGAGATTAAGATGTTAACAATAATTTAATAAGTTAATATTGAAGGAATGAAAAGCTGCAGTAATACAGAACATTCAATAAAATATGAAGAACATTCCACAAATTCATGATGTATGTAATTGAATCAAACTTTGAAATGAAAATGTTGTTTATTGTGTATCCAATTCACCAAATTGTTTCAGTTTGTTCATTATAAGTACTGTATAATCAATGTTCATTGGTTTCCATGTACTTGTTAAATCATGTGATTGTAAGTTAAAGTATGTGACACTGATCTTGTGTGAAATGTAGTGCCTTGCAGCTGGCATATATCTTCCACCTCAGGGACAGTCGCTGTATGGTCAATGTAGTGCCTATATATACTAGTACACTAGTACATAAATGATATAATGAAAACAACCATTTACTTATTTGTTTGAAGTGTTATTTCAGTATATTTGAATCAAAACTTTGAATTTTGTATTTTCCATCATGGTCTCTTTAATGTTGACTAATGGATGAAAGGGTAAAATTGTATTATATTAAACTAAGTATAATGCTTCATTTATAAACTTATATAAAGCATACATAAGGAAGAAATAAGTAATTAAATGCACATATCTACAGTATACTCCTAGATGTTCACATTTAATGAATGTCATCAATCAAGTTGGACTATTTAATACTAAAAGCGCTGGTCGCTTCTTATATTTTGAATGCTTTTTGAATGTAATTACGAGAGAGTGTTGTAATTATCGGGAATTTTGACTCATTTTACAGTAACAAGCAATTATTCGTAGATGATCAAAAAGGCAATCATCTTTGTGGACAAATGTATTTATACATGTATATTTAGAAAAATGGGTCAGTAATATACTCTAATAAATATATGAATGTGTTCTTTATGTGTCGATGCCATATACAGTACTTAGTTATCTACATGTATATAAGCATGTTAATTTTGTCGCCATGCTAAATGGCTGAATAAAAGGTTTATGTAAAATTTTAGCCATTTTTAACTTGTACTTATTGTTATAATTATTAATACCTATTATTAATACTTACAGTTTAATAAAAAATAATATATATGAAAATAAAAATACTGCATCTGTTATTTAGATGTGATACGTTTAATGTATCGAGGCATATTAACAAGTTACAAGTCACACTCATGTTTTGTTTAACTTTTATCTAAATCAGTGAGTAGATAGAGGGAAAATTAAAATGAGTGGGCCTTAGTTGATGGGCAGACTTGAAACTTGTCAAATTCAGAAAAACGAAGATTAGAAACTTTTGCAATTTTCAGAAAAAAATTAGACAATTATTTAGAAAAGGTTTAAGGCACGGCTATATGGGTTTGAATTTAACATGACTATTGTTCTTGAAATCATTTTTGTCAGGTCTCGTTTATATTTCATCAACAAGACAATAAAAACTACCCTTTGAACTATTACTCGTTTCAATTTTTACAAGTCAATTCAATATCAATACAAATATATCATTCATAGAGTTTCTAGACCAACTGATGGTGAGAGATAGTTATGTCAGATTCAGCTTCCCAGGTTTTAGTTCTCTGTTGGATTTTGAATTTGGGATAGTCTCGTTATAAAATTCAAATCGATCATTTGAAAATCTGGGAATAAACTTGCTACCCTTAAACTGTCAATATTGCTTTTCTGCATGAAACATTTTGTCAAAACGGATCTTTCAGAAGCTTTCCTTGTTATACCTCATTGTCAAAAGGCTTTACAAATGAATAAGGGTCAAAAACCTCACCTGCTAAATCACAAACTAAGTAGGCTTGAAAGATACAACAGTAATACAATTTTGTAAAAATTTAGAAATATATATTCTTAGTATTAAATAAATGGCAACTTGATAGTAAATAGCATGCCATTAAGGTAAACTTAGTAGAATAAATCAAGCAAATTCGTGGATGACATGATGACGGTTTGTCCACCTTATTTTTCTTGGTTGGTCCACCTTATCCCATATTCACAAATCTGTGGAAATGTTTGAACATGCATATAAATTGTAAACTCTAAATGTTTCATTGCAATAATTTACAAAAAGAGTGAATCGAAAACATGAGAAATAATTTTAATGAAGATCTCATATTTTTCCTAAATAATAAATGCATAACTTGAAAAACACAAAACACTGGAAATATCTGATAACATGTAAACAGTACAAATTGAATATTTACACTTACCATAGTACATACAATTGTTGATGTAAAAAATTACCAAAAAGCTAACATTCTCTTGGATAAAAATTCAAAATTGTATTGAAAAATTGTATTATGTTGATTACAACACTTTAAAGAATTTCAAAAAGCATATTTAAGTTTAGTCAAAAAATACTTATCAAAAGAGTTTATCTAGCAAAAATTGGTCATTTATTGTAAAAGTTCTTTATATATACATATTTTTATGAAAATATAGCACTCAAACATATAATATATCCCTTGGAATTCACTGTATCTGAAGTATGGAGGGTATTTACCATTAGAAAGCCATTCCTCCAAAATTGGTGAAAATAAGTTTTGCAATATGTATGTTTTAACTTAATAATTAAGTAATGAAGAATATATATCAATACAATCGAAAATATATTTTTTAGAATGTTAAGTTTGAAAAATAACTAAACCACCATTAAAACATCACATTAGTAAGACAAGTGATTTGGATCCATTTTGAGAATTCAGATGCTTGTCTTTAATATTCATGTATGGGAAGTCTATTTTGTTTAAGTTTCCTTAATTTTTAGTAGTTGATGTGCAAAATTATTGCTGTCTAATGTTTTACATACATGTATGTTTAGATATTCAAACATTATGATATTTGATGGTATCCAGACCCCTTCAAACAGGACTCTCATATACAGTGAATCCCAAAGCCTCGTAGCCCACATTCATTAAGCATTGGGTCTATATATAATCTCAATGTGGTAGTCAAGTACAAAAACTTACAGAGTGACCCCAAAAATTCAACCCTCTTATTTTGCAAACTCAAAATTGCTTTTTTAAATATATTGGACTATTACAAAAGCTACTTAAACAAAATATGCGTTCATCACTGAGTGTTACATTGCATACACTCTACAAGAACAAGAAAAATTGAGAAGATTCCATCAAAATTGAGAGAGTAATTCCACAATTAGAAGGTTGGTTTTTATAGGTCACCCTGTAAAACAGTCAAATATATAAAATGCAAGTATCAAATGCTTGGTAGATTTGTACCAGTAATAATGATTAAAGATCACATTTCTCACAAAAATGCTAAAGTAATCAGGTGATGTTTCAGATTTGAGTAACACAATAGCAAATGTTGTATGCATCGCTTTTGATGTGTGGCTCAATTTATCCTTTTGGCAATCTTTGTGTTACATTTTTACCCATGTTGTTCATGTTACACACTTAAACTGATGTTGTTTATGCTTCTCTCTCTTTATGTAATACACTTGGTAATGTTGTTGATGTTATCAAATGGATAATATTATACACGTTACACATATGGCTTATGTTCATAGTCTATTGTTGTTCATGTTACACACTTAAACTGATGTTGTTTATGCTTCTCTCTCTTTATGTAATACACTTGGTAATGTTGTTGATGTTATCAAATGGATAATATTATACACGTTACACATATGGCTTATGTTCATAGTCTATTGTTGTTCATGTTACACACTTAAACTGATGTTGTTTATGCTTCTCTCTCTTTATGTCATACACAAGGTAATGTTGTTGATGTTATCAAATGGATAATATTATACACGTTACACATATGGCTTATGTTCATAGTCTATTGTTGTTCATGTTACACACTTAAACTGATGTTGTTTATGCTTCTCTCTCTTTATGTAATACACTTGGTAATGTTGTTGATGTTATCAAATGGATAATATTATACACGTTACACATATGGCTTATGTTCATAGTCTATTGTTGTTCATGTTACACACTTAAACTGATGTTGTTTATGCTTCTCTCTCTTTATGTAATACACTTGGTAATGTTGTTGATGTTATCAAATGGATAATATTATACACGTTACACATATGGCTTATGTTCATAGTCTATTGCTGTTTATGTTACACAATGGAACACTTTCAACATTAGACTCTGGCTAATTCTGTTTATCTCAGACATGTAAGTCTTAATGTTCCTATATGATATTTTTCTGCAACCCGTTTTTATTTGCATCCAAATTATAAGCTGGATTCTCATAATGCTGAGCCTGATGAGTGTCAGATCCTTGGCTCTGATTGTCATATAGTGGACCGTCACTAATGCTGTTTCCTTTGCGAGGGATATCCACATGGTGCGATCCAGTGCTCGAAATGTTGGACGTCCTAGTGTCTTTTGATTGGTCAGTTTTGGAATTTGCTGTACTTCCCGTCACAGAATGGTATTTCTTTTCTCCACGCTTTTTAGGACAGCAGCATGCGTACCACATGTCCCTGACATGTTTCTCACGTATACAGTGGAATACGAATATAAGGAAGCCTTGGATGGAATTGAAAATGCAGAAGAGGTATTGGAATATAATACGAGCTTCATTTATGGCAAAGAATCCAAATACCCAAGTCAGTCCTGAAAAATATGTTATTTCATTTTAATATTCAAATCAAAATTAAGCACAATGCATTAACATTCAAAATGTCACCTCACCACCAAAAGCATTTGATTCAGATGCCGAATGCCAGACACCAAATGCCTTCATAAAAAAAGAGTTGGAGACCACAATATGTCTACATATTCAAATTCATGATCAATTTGAAAGCTATATTTATTTCAAAGTGCATGTACTTATGACATAAAATAAGCTTAAACTTACCAAGTACAACAAACACTGCAAATGCTGCATTGAACTCGAGAAGTCGCATGTCATTACGGCTTTTATTTACCCTGAGTCCTGAGGTCTGGCGATCACATGTAATTCCCTTTAGTACCAGGGTAAATATAATCAGGTTGATGATTATGATCACACCAATGGGGATCAAGAATGCAAAATAGAATGGATAGAGTGCCATCCAGCAGCTGAAAGAGAAAAGAAACAAATTTTTATTACCAGGTTTCACAGGGATATGAAATATGGTAAACTTTATCACAGTAGGTAAACTCTCTCCATGGCTCTGCTATTTTCAAATGTTGACCTAAACACAATTTATGTCAATAACCCAGATGCGAGTAGAAATAATCTTGATTTACGTCATCAAAATTCAGTCAAAGTAATATCATATTTGAAATCTACATGCAAAATTACATCTAGAAATGTGGTTTTAAAAAGTGTTTGTCAACTTTGAAAAATTAATTTTCTTTGAAAATGTGACTTCTAGCTCGGGGAGATTCCCCATAGACCCCATGCTATAAAATCACAAAAAATGAAATATCTTTTCTTTGAGTGGACAGATAATATTTTTCTTTACTGGACATATTTTCATTAGTATAAGTATCAGACACATAAGGGTTATATGAAAATTGAGCCACTTAAATTGATAATATTCAAGTTTAAGTGAACTTTCTTATATACCTGCCATGTTAATTGACACGAATCAGCCACCTGGTGGTGAAACTGGTAACTACCTACTCGCATTTGGGTAATTGATTCAGTGAAATTTAAGGGATCAATCTAAATGCAATGTTCATGTCAAACCTGACCTAGTACGAGTCCACATTTATGAAGCTAACATGAAATTACAAAGAACACTTACTAAGGATCCCCTCCCCTGTAGAGGTTGTAGTCTACTGCAAGCACAACTATCACAGGCACAAGAGGGACCACTACAACAAACAGTAACACTCATGCAGGAACATACTTAGTATCACTTGCAAATCTGGGAGGGGGGTCAAATCTATTTTTGACTGAGCCTAAAAATGCAACTTCTTGGGCCTGTTTAAAATGGGGATTTTTGAAAAAGAAATTAATGGTAATGAGCTCCCAAAACATATTTTTTGAGCCCATTGTCAATTCCCAGATCTGCCCCAGAGTTTAGAATTCGGAAACAAAGAGGGTGTCACAAGAACCCTGATGCAGAGATGAAAACAAACAACAGAAGTACAAAGGTACATTTATATGAAATGACAAGGCTTTTATGAAATGAGCAAAGATAAAGTAACAATGCTGAAATAAGACATATAAACTCACTGAACAATTGCAATCACAAAAAACATAGATGATTTAAACATGCAGGACTTACACCAACAAGGGAAAACAGTCTTTCTCATGAAACGTGGAATGTAGGTTCCCATCACCTTGACGAAGTTCAAATATTGCACGATCCCTTCTACCAGCATCCAGGCGAATGTCACCATTATGAAATAATGCAACAGGGCAGCTATGGCAAGACAAGCTGAAATACAATCAAATCAGTTTATAAATCCACATCCATTTGATAGTTATTGGTGATCTGATATTTGATATTGTCTTCTTAATCAATTAATCAAGGTAATGTGAGTTTAACAGAATATATATCTATACATTATCTTCAGGAACATTCATTTATATGTTTGTTAAATTCTATGTTGTCTTTGTATGTTAAAGGGGTCCTATCTATTTATTGCAGGGGTGTTTTCCTCTTATTTTTCGTATACAGATCTGTCGTTTCCTAATAGCTTTCTTTGTTTCTGTAGTTTCCTTAACAACCGTTTTTCAAATGTTAAAGGGGTAAAGTGAGCTGCAATTTTTAGTATTTTAAAGGAGGACTTGCCTATATAGTTGCTTGTTTGCTCAATACCGAACAGGAAGACCAGGTTTGAGCAGAGAAGAGCAAGAGCAAGATTGAACAGTACTTTCTGACTCCTTGCTTTCCTCATTTTCCTAAAAAACAGAAAATAGGTTTTAAATCAAAAGTTTTAATCTCTTTTAATAGCCACTTTTAACGAGCTACTTTGTCCATTTTCCAGCTCAAATTGTAAGAAGGATTGATGTTTCTAATGGTGAATAAATGAGTAAATATTCTTTGCTCTACTAATGTGATTTTGTGTGAAAAATATTATAATGGGGGACATTTCAATTCCACATGTACTTACTTGAAGAAGATGAATGTGAGGACCACAAAGCCTAATCCAGCTATAGAAATGGACAAGCCAATCTTTGATATGATCCCCAATACAAGTTGATCAATCTCAGATATCGCCTCCTCTGAAAAGTCCTGAAATTATATGAACATGTGAGTTGATTTGCGAAATTCTAAAAAAGAATTGAAATGCACAGTCAGACAAATATTGAACAGTTCTAACCATCATTATGATACTATAAGTAAACACTATTGTCCCAACCAATGACTAAGGACTATAAAGACACAGTGTCAGATGAATGTCTTCCAAACCTTTCAAGAATCATTAACATAAACCAAAACCAAAAGATTGGGCAATATTTTAGGTATGACAGTATGATGTAAATTCTATAAATATACAAAAAGACTAATAAATCCGAAGCAATATATTAGCTTTTGAACAGTCATAAATGAAATAAAATTTGTTTATAAAAACAAAAAATGACTTACCATAAGAACTGCAAAGTTTGTGAGATGGTCAGAGGTACACATGTACTGGCCATCTTGCATGTCTGTCATCTCCATCCCTCTATTTGACCATCCTCCTTTGTTATCGTTCATGGTGTATTCATAATAGACACAGGAGGCAGTAAACTTGTTTTTCTAAAGATGTAGAAGTTTTATATATTTAAAATATATATATTTAAAAAGTAATGAGACATGCTTATTCAAAAATGAACACTTTTCTGTATAAATTATGAAAAAATGTATATCGAAAAAATTCATCATTCTTAATATTAATTCTATCCTATCGTGAAATAAAAAAAATGATAAGGTGAATCTTGCAAACTCCTCATCAAAATAAAAATCATATTAAAACAATATATGTTTGTACTTACCTGTAATGGTTTAAATATAATTTTTATTGGTTTTTCAAGATTCTCAACAACTACGCCATCTATTGCAGCTGATATGACATGACTATTCAAACGCTTCTCCAAGTTTTCCTTATTCTTCGGAGTCACAAATAAATCATTTTTCTGGTAAACAGCAAAACTCAGCCTCTGACTTATAAGATCTAGAAATTAAACAATGCATTTAATTTTTGGTGAAAGATAAATGTGCATGTTAGAAATTAAAAAATGTATTTAATTTTTGGTGAAAGATAAACGTGCATGTATTTACTTAAAATTTGTCCACTTCTTAGACTCATTCTGTCTGTTGCTTTATCTCTTTCTACACTATGTGAAAAGGGGGTGGTGACAAGGATTTCACCAATATTTGCCCTCCCAAGCCATTCTATACGTAATTGTTCATATTTTGAAATATCCATTTATATTTCAAGGCCCCATATCAAATTTAAACCACTTTGGCTTATATCATAGTCTTACCCAATGTTTTCAAAGTGTGATATCTGAAACTTTTTTCTTTAATTTGAAAAAGTAGTTTTTGAAGGATCTTATTGGAAAAATCTTGAATTTATTTAAAACTAACTTTTAGAGGTCACAAGTCATAACAAATAGTAAATGAATGATAAAAACATATTTTCAAACATTGCAACGGAACTTTAATACTATTCACCATTCAATCAAATGTTTGCTTATCACTCAGGCCCTAAAGCCCAAAAGAACAACTGAATGATGACGAATTTGGTAACCAGGTCCATGGTATAAAAGTATAAAACCCACCTAAATCAGGAAGAATTTTTTTAATTGGGAGAATAATTGCGGCATCAATGTCTTCATCCTCTAAATCATCTTCACCATAAACAGTGATGACATCATAATCCGTGAGGTTACCATTTGTCGTAGATTTTATACCACGTGGAGTGTTTGATAAACCCTGTGTGTCCCATACCTCCAGGGCAATGTTGGGCTCTATGTAACGTGTAAAAGGCTTTATTCCAAGATTTACATTCGCAGCATGCTGATCCAGAGCTGTCACAATTCTGAAGAGGAAGACATGTTTTAATCAAGATTTTTAAACTGATGAGCAATATTTGAAGAATGCAAACATCAACAGATCAAAGCATTTGATGTAACTAACAAATAAAAAACCTAATTTAAAATCTCATATTCCAAATTCAAAGGCTTCACCTAAGTTATTGGAAATATTTTCATGAATAGCCTTGCCAAATTATGACAATGCGCATGGGACTTAATATGCTATGGCAACCATTGTTTCATTCTCTATATCTTGAGACCATGGGCCTTGAAGATGTTCAATAAACTCACAATTTAATCTTTAAAACATGTTAAAAATATCAGCAAATTTGACAAAATGAAAGACCTAGCATCATAACATGTACTTAAAATGAACATCCTGTGTTACTAACCTATTTGAAGCATTAGCAAGTATCTGAGCTTCTAATATTTTTGACTTATTAACTCCAAGGATATTATTCACAATTTTGACAAAATTGACAGTTGTCTCTTCGCTGGTGTCAAGTTCCTGTGCAACATGTTCTAGAATCATTGACGTGTAGATGACATCAGGAAATGTGAGGATGTCAGGAATTGATGTCAAGTTTTTTGTTTCTTCAACGATATCTTCCACATTGTCAATGTTGACAGGCTCCTGCAAAAAAACAAGATCTACTATAGTCATTCATTAGTCAAAGGCTGATAAGAATTCAGAGCTCAAGATTAAGGTTTGGAACATGTTTGGCTGGTTTAACATCATTCAATTTATTACCCAATAGGCAACTTGTTTCCAAATAAAGTGAAAAGTGATTGCCACTGGCGTGAGTTTTGAAACCTGTAAAAAGTGCAAGCAAAATTTAACCATTTGTTTTATGTACTTATCGAATGCCTCTCCTCAGTTTTAATTGTTTATCACATAAAAAGAAACAGGTTACTAGCAGAATGTTTTGATCATTTATAATCTTATTTGTAGTTTTCATTTTCATTTTGTGATGACATTAATATTTTTACAATGGAATATAAAAATCACCAAAAAGTGACTCAGTATTTTTGTGTAACAGCATCCTTATCAATTTGGATGTCATTTGCCAAATATAAAGACATTGACCTTAAATGTAGTACTTACTATGGATATGGTTTCCAAATCTTTTGTGACAGGTGAAGTATCAACCTCAATGCACTCTGCCCCATAGATGGCATTATAATACATAACATTAGACCACCTGGTGCCAGTCTCTGCGGAACCCTCACATGTTGCCTTGGCAAGACTACGGCCATCTGTTGAACAGGAATTAACAACGTTCAAAAATGTTGTTTAAAATTGATATTTAGTACTACATGCAGTATTTAATGTTTCATGCAACAATAAATTGAAAAAGAATCAATTTACTAAAAGTTGAAAATTTCATATCAAAATAAATTTGTTCATACAGTTAATACTATAACAATCAAATTGATATTACCTTGGACACAAATTTCCAAGCTGTAACTCTCCTTTCCTAGATTTGTAGCTGGAATTGTGTAGTTACGACCGCCAGGCATTCTGCCACTTAATCTGGCACAGGAAGCTGTTAAACAAATGATCAGATATTTTTAAAGCAATGATATCCACTCTCTGTGTTAGACTTTAATTCTAACAATTTTGAATAAAAATTAGAAATGATTTAATGAAACAATCACATTTTTAATCTTGTGATACTCATATTCCTTGTTTGGTGTGATATCGCAACATTCCTAATTCCTATGTCCATATAAAGCATGACACATGCACATAAAGCAAAAACAAATATGCAATGATGTAATATAAACACCAATATTGTAAATATGGCAATGGCAATGGATAGCAATCATTTAATCTTGAAATGTTCAGCGACATGTTTTCAAAAAATACTATAGATTTGGAATCCATTTATACAGCTACAGTGAAACCTATAAGTTCAAACATGTCTTTAATCCAAATACCTCTCAATGAAAAACCTTGAAATGTGAACATCTACTTATTTGAACACTATGTTAGTCCCAGACTGAGTAACATTCAGTTCAGCCAAGTTTTACTCTAAGCGCATTTTACCTGTGTTCATCAGTTCAAGGGTTTCAGGGTCAACATCCATATCATTTTGTGTTAGGTCAGTATAAAAGCTCCTCAGTTGCTCCTTTAAGGCCACACGGACAGCCTCGGGGACATCATCTTTGGGAGTCTGGGATATATCAATCTCTGAGAATGAAGGTTGCCCATCCAGCTTATAGAACACGTTAAAATCTATGATAACGCTGCCATTCCTTAAAAAGAAAAGAAAATATAAAAAAAAGATTAAGGTTATTATTTGGAAATTAAGAATTATCGGCTCATGACTCAACCTTACTAAAATAACTTCCAAATACTTGCAAATTAAATTCTATGTGAGTGAAATTTTGCAAGGTGGGATGCTATACATACCAGTAAGTTGAGAATCAATAAATGATGGGTTTACTTAAAAAATCTTCCTGGGGAAATCTTATTATGCTATCTACATTACAAGCAATAAAGTGTCAATATATAACTGTTTAACAGGCTGAACATGAGACTTTAATTGTACTATGGTTAAGTAATTAGTTCTTAGCTTAGATATTTCAAAACGCTTCTAGCACAACAAGAGCTTGAGCCCACAAGCTAAAATTACGAATGGTCTGTGAAGGGTGATCTCAATGAATGGGAAGGAGGTCACATGATCAAAAATATCACCTTATTCCATTCAGCTTCATGTCTATATTGATGCCATTGCCTGCTATGCCATATGTTGTAGTGGTAAGAATTCTCTTATATATTGAATTGTAATCAGGTATTAACTGCACCATCTCTGCCTCTACAGCATCGAACTGATGTCCCCGCACTTTCATACTACCAACGTATGTCAAAGTACCTATATAAAGGAAAAAGGCATTAACATGACAAAATGTCACCACCTACAGTTGTTGTTGCTCACAATATTATGAGTTCATTCTCGAGTCAGATTTAAATCTCTGAGAACTTGTAAATGATTTTGAAACAATAAATTGGTCAATATGAAGCAAGTTGAAAAAAGAACTTTTTTGATACTGAGAAGGTCATTGAAGGTGAAATCTCAAATCTAAACTCAGATTTGATCTTTCGATAACTTGTAGATAATTTTGAAAAAAGAATTGGGTCAATTTGAACCAAGCTGAAAAAATACCCTTTTTACCTTTTTAACACCAAACGCTGTAAAAAAAACAAAGGCCATAACAATATGTCACCACTTTTTGGTTTTGACATAATAAGCACTTATAACTGAATCTTGTTGATGATATGGCTCAGATGATGATCTTAACACTGTTACTCCTTAGATAACAATAATATGATTTTTTTGTACTTATCCAACAATCGCTCAATTAAATGTTTTGGCAAATTCATTAAATCCATGGTGAATGCCAATCCAACCATTTGTGCAAATAGAAAAGAACAAATCATTGTAACTGACCTTTATCAGTGATGGTGAATGTTCTTGATATAATCCTATCCACAGGAGAAAGACTCCATGCTTCACACCAGTAATCTCCCTGCAAAGAATGGTACATGTATATGTAAAGAGGGGGGAATGTCCCTGAATCCATAGATGTACCTCCATATAAAGAGAAACTACTAGAGGTTCACATTAACATTATATGGAGATAGGTTCTATGAATTCTGGGGTATCCCCTCCTGTTGGAATTAAAAACACTTGGTTCAAACAGACTGGCAAAAGATATGCTGTTTCTAAGTTGTTATAAGGAACCTACTTGGCTCAAACCAAGATTCTTTGGCCATAGGAGCAGACTGGGTTATGACCATTTATAATGTTTGCTGAACACATTCCGAGGTTGTTTTTATTCAATTTTCCAGGGGGGTTGACATTTGACATTTTGGCCCAAAATCACCTGAAAGGTGCTCAGAATGGTGAAAAACTGCATGATTTTGAAAGAATTTTTGGCCAGGGGGGGGGGGGGGGTGGGGGAGGGTTAGCTTGCACCCCTTAACCCACCCTGGCTATGTGCCCGGGAAAACCATCACCCTCTCAACAGGATTTTCAATGGACCAGACTAATTACAAATAAATTCCTCATACCTTTATACTCACCTGGATAGTAAATTATATGAAGAGAACTTATCCCTAGACAACCAAAAATTCAAAAATATATTAAATCAAATTACCTGAAGTTTAGTAATTGGAATAAACATCTGTTGTTGTTGCATGCTTTCAGCATATTCCAGAAAAGAAAACTCAGCTCTCGGGTAACCAGTCATTGGTAAATAGCCCATGTTTTTTGATCCAAGAAATACAGGTATATCAGGGAAGTAATACTGATCAATCTCACACGTGATTATCGGGAAATCCTTATTAGTTATATCTATGACAATGTCACCGTTAGGGCTCTCCGTAAATCTCGAAGGACCTGAAAGTGAAGAGTACATAACTACAATAAAACTGTATATAATGAACACCATGGAGCCACATAAAAGTGTTCACTGTAGGTAGGTGTTCATTACAGAATGGGGATTTCATACAGGAGTCAATGTAAAATGTGTCCTGAAGTGGTGTTCACTGAACACAGGTATTCACTAGAGAGAGAGGTGTTCAATACTGCATTATAAGTGGTGATTTTGCCCAATAATTTAATTTTGCCTATTGCCTAATTTTTGAAATGATCAGAAAATTAAATGTTGGATATATAGCCTAATAATCTTCATAATGTTATCCAATAGGTTCCTTGTCATTAGGAAAATTAAAATTAGGAAAATGATGAAGTTTGACCATTCAGCAAATGAATCACTTGGATTAAATACCACTTATACAGTTAGATAGGTTTTACTGTATACCTACAATATGAGTTCATGGTATCAAATGTTGGTGGAGTCAAATGAAATTTCTGCTTCACTATTGACAGTAGTAGTTTCAGTCACCAACTACCAACACTGAAAGAAGGTCACAAAAAGGTTGCTATAACGATGGTGGTGACAACTGAACAAAACATGAAACCAACCTTTGGAACGCCTTGGTTTCTCACAGATAGTTGCTCTGGTCGCTCTGCAAGGTCTTACATTGAGGTCTCCATTCGTGTCAAGCCAAACACAGTCATAATCTTCTCCAAATGGAATTGAGCCCGTTAGAGGTTCACCATCAAGCCAATCAAATTCACCAAATGATCCATTTACTCGAGGCACAAGTCCAACCCATGCCACCCAATCATCACCAAGTTGGAAACCTAAATATTAATATGATCATACGAGGGGTGATCAATAAGTAATGGACGCTTTTTTACACAGATACTTTTTATCGACAAATCCCTTTGATTTTCTTACCAGTGATAGCTCATTCAATTATCTATCAATTCTGTAGATTTGAGGTCAAAATGTGTAATGAATGTTGATATATCCTTATTTACGTAAAGGTGTTCATGTACCCCAGGACTGACATTTACGTCACATATTTAGCTTTTAGCCATTCTGACATATTTCAGTTAGATTTGATTAGATTTGATTTTTTGATATGCAATTACTCAGATGCGAGTAGGTAGTTACCAGTTTTGCCACCAGGTGGCTGATTCGGGGGAAATAACATGGCAGGGTATTACAAAATTCCCTTAAACTTGAATATGCATCAGTTTTAGTGGTTCACTTTTCAAATTACCCTTATGTATCTGATAGTTATACAAATTAAAATATGTCCAGTAAAAGAAAATAATATCTGCCCAACACAAGAAAAGATATTTCACTTTTTGTAGTTTTACAACATGGGGTCTATGGGGGATCTCCCCGACCTAGAAGTCACATTTTCAAAGAAAATTAAATTTTCAAAGTTGATAAACTCTTTTCAAAACCACATTTTTAGACGTAATTTTATATGTAGATTCCAAATATGACACCAGTTTGACTGAATTGTGAATTTTTATTGACATAAATCAAGATTATTATTTTCTACTCGCATCTAGGAAATTAGCGTTGTGTTGTTTGGAAATATTTTGCTGACTGGTAACACATAAACGGTAAGTATTGTGATGTCAAAGTGTTATATGGTTGGGGTTTGCAGGTCAATATGAGAAAACATTGTGGAAGAAGGGGTTGGTGAGAGAAAAGAGCACCCTACTCCATATGGACAATGCACCTGCCCAAAGATCTCAAAATGTTCAGAATACAATAACCCTGGACCTCAACTGAGCCCTTGGAAAATGCACCATTTTTTCCAGATCTGCCAACACGTGACTTATTTATTTATATACTAGTATTACTAATTTCTGTAGAGAAAGGAAGCGCGGGTTTAATGACATTGATGAAACAAAACAAGCTGTGCCACTGCATCTTGCTTCCACCTCAGAGAATGGATTCGGCCTTGTCTCACAATATTGGGTTAAGAGGATGAGGAAGTGTGTACGTGTAGCACTTGATGGAACCTATGCAAAGGGCCCTGTAAAATGAATTTGGCATGAATACCACAAAGTTAGTTAGTTTTGTTCAGCCTGCATTCAACTGCATTGCATGTTAAACAAGCTAAAATAGCTTCAGAATGTGTGACGTTATGTCGGTCCCGGGGTTCCTATACCTCCTTCACGGCAATAAAGATATATCAAAATATATTACATGTTATGCTTTCAAATCTTCAGAGTTGATAGATTATTGAATGATGTATCACTGGTGACAAAATCAAAGGGATTGGTTTATAAAAAAAAGATCTGTGTAAGCGTCCATTACTTATTGATCACCCCTCGTATGTGAAAAATAAAAATCACCATTTGTAAAGTGGAAGTAAATCTGTATATTATATCTTTTAAATATTCCCCTTACTACAGAATAAATGTTTGTAGGGGAAAAATGGAGAATTTAAAATATAAATGTGCGGGTAGACAGAGGGGGAGATAAATTGCAAAGAATGAATTAATTGTTTTACATCCAGCAGAAATTTAACCTATTGTACAAAAACATATAGAGTGAAAGGCTCCATGGGGAGCCTTGGTCAGTGGTTGCAATATATGTATACCATATACAATCATACATTGAAGCAAGCTATTTCTCTTCATGTGTGACAACTTTCAAGCCACAATTGGCCATTAATAACCAATAATACCTCGATAAAATCATATATATTTAATTCCATTCTCACAAACCACAAACACAATTGATTTTACTAAAGGAAACAAACTAACATTGATTTGCAATTAATTATGTTGATAATAAAGAAAAAAAAATGATTGTACATACTGACTTCGGCCACTGCGGCTGTTGCAAACCTCATGTCCATGTGAGACTTTGGCATCATCAACTCACTCTTCATTGTTCGGCATGAATCTCTAGCAGTTGAGAAATTAGACCTTACATTGTCTCCTATATAATAACACTTATCTGACAGATAGTGACCCAGCCAGCCTTCTTCACAAAGTGGTGCTGAAAATCAATAAATTTTCAATATTTTTCAGAACATTATGCAAATAAACCTCCCTTTGAAATGCGTATATTTCTGCTCTAGATTCAAATATAAATTCAAATTTATGTGCATTTTTGATTGATGTTCGTAAAATGTAATATATTCCAAAAAAAGGAGAATGTACCATTCACCAACCTACATACTATTCTGAGCTTTAATATTGCTCACATATTCCCTTCGGATAACAGTCAAACAAAAGTTACCTCAAAATGTTTCTATTTCACATGTTCTCAGTTTATGTCTAGATAAAAACTTACTCTTTTCAAGTCTTATTTCAATTGGTCTATTCATGCAAATAAACGGCAATGACTTCTCACAAGACTGCAATTCAATCTTCAGCCCATCTCTGCTCTCATCCTCCTCAGACTGGCGCTTTTTTCTCACATTTGGCCATCCACTGTCTTCACTGAAATCTTTGAATTCAATGGAGGTTGTCTTGACACCAGTAATTGCACCACACTTTCCTGATTTAGTGTTAGGTTGGCCAGGTGGAAAGTACCATCCTACGAGGTTTCTTGGTGTTGTGTATTGAATACGGTATTTCTCTTCCCACACGATTCTGTTAAGATCATCCACATGCATTCCTATCCATGCAGCACTAATATTGCCTAAAATACACAATCTTGCCTTAAATACACAATATTGTCTAAAATATACAATCTTGCCTAAAATACACAATCTTGCCTAAAATACACAATCTTGCCTAAAATACACAATCTTGCCTAAAATACACAATCTTGCCTAAAATACACAATATTGTCTAAAATATACAATATTCTCAAAAATGCAAGTCCTAAAACATACAAAATTGTCTAAAATACACAATTTTGTCTAAAATACATGTACAATGTACATGTAAGTCATACATACATAGATTGACTTACTATACACCAAGTACTGTCCAACAGCGCTTGATACTTAAGATGAGCTCATCCACTCACTCACATTGATAGATTAACTTACTATACACCAAGTACTGTCCTACAGCGCTTGATACTTCAGATGAGCTCACTCACTCACTCACTCACATTGATAGATTGACTTACTATACACCAAGTACTGTCCTACAGCGCTTGATACTTAAGATGAGCTCATCCACTCACTCACATTGATAGATTAACTTACTATACACCAAGTACTGTCCTACAGCGCTTGATACTTAAGATGAGCTCATCCACTCACTCACATTGATAGATTAACTTACTATACACCAAGTACTGTCCCACAGCACTTGATACTTCAGATGAGCTAAGGAATGCAAGGTGGGAGAAATCCTGTTGACATGTTGCTAGTGCATCTCTCCAACTACTTGATTCGTTGTACAACTTCACACAGATGTAGCTCTGCCCTGGAGGGAACGGTGTGTAGCCATCTTGGCAATCCAGTTCAACTGAAAGAGCAATTATCATTTATTATTAAACTTCAGTTCTGATTTCAAAGACATTTTGCCCTAAAGAAAATTTGTTAATGCAATATGCAGTGAAATAAAAACAAAAATGAATTGTACAATGTACATTGACAAGAAACTCAAGCATCAAAATTAGCACAGCACTGCAATGAGTTGAAAAGTTAAACAAAGTTGGATGCACAGTGATAAGTATGGCGCTTTTTTTTCTAAATTGTCCCCAAGTAATTTTGCCAGCATGTCTAAAACCAAATCAAATGGCACTAGCTGCTCTTGTATCTGTTAAAATTTCAAGTTGAAAAGGTTAGCCAATTTTCTGAAATTTTGATCACAGCATTAATGTACCATAGCAAATCCAATCAGCAGTACACATTAACACAAGTGCTATAAAAACTATGTAGCACCCCAAATCTAAAAACATTCTCCAACTTTTCAATTGGATAGTTTCTAAATAGCAGAAAGATCAATGAAATCTAGTGCTGCCATCTTTTATTCAGCTTTTAATTCGGGCAAGAGTTCCATTCACTTGCATGCTAAAATCTTAGAAAAGTGGCTTAATTTCATGATTTATCAAAGTGTGTTAGTTGAATCTGTATAAAACTTGAATGATATACCACATGATGTTCCTGTTTATGCACATGTTGTGATTAAACATGCAAATGTTGATTGACATACAACTAATCCAAGGTTTTAAAGAATTTTAGCATTGCATCTATGGACATTTGGCCCAAGTTTTTTAAATTGTCATAGAAAATTATTCAAATTACATAACTGTGTAAATCAAAGCTATTATAGGAGAAAACATTTCACTGAATTCAAATATGCCATTTAAAAGAAGGAAATGTAAGTCATACTTACATAATATGCAAATCGCTTAAAATCTCACGAAAAACGAGATTCAGCGAGATTTCAAAAGCTATATGGAAATTATACTATTAAATTATCTGAAAATCTGGACTCACCTGCCTTCTTCACCTTTGCTGTTGCATTTAAGACCTCAAGTTCAGTCCTTGCCTGGCATTTATATACTCCCCAGTTATTAGGATTGTATATCACTAAAGACCCATCTGGTTTCATTTCCCCATCATTACCACCAACTGGATAATCCTCAATGAACCACTGAATGTCTACCTCTAGTACAGGATCATGGGTAACTTTGCATTTCAATGTTGTCTGGGTGTTTTGTCTTAAATAAGTGCTTTCAGGTGTAATCTTGATAGTAGATCTTTCTATAAATATACATGCATGTCATATTTTTCAAAATAGTTTTGTTGATTTTTAGCAAGGCAGTTGAAATAAGGTGGCTTTTCCTGTTTTGACATCTGCTTTCCGTTAAAAGAGATTGTAAATAAGATATTGTACCCTGCATGCAGTCTAGTTATAAACTACCCTTTCACACCTAATGCATTTACTTCGACAACGCACTCGGATTATAAGTGAGTTCAGAGAGTTATTGTAAACTGAAAGAGTAGAGATAAAGCTCTCTTTTAAGAAGTGAAGTCAAATAAATGCAAATGGTAAAGCCTAAAGATATTGTTATATTACAAAATAAACCCAACTGTTTTTGTTGAAAGCCTTCATGTTTTTAAGTTGACTGCTCTACCCTTATATGGAAAATTGTTTCTCTGCACAAGTCAAATTAGGACTGTACATGTTTTATCAAGGGTTTGGTATTTAATGTACATGCACTTTCACAACTCAAAGAACATCTTAAACTCTGATTTCAATTTTGAGTTTGAATCAATGCTACTAAGAAAACTCCAATTATTTTTCAAATAAAAGTACAAAAATCCCAAATTGAATTGAAGCTTCACTTCTACTCTTCACTTCACTTCATTGAAGTACACATTATTTGCTCGCCGGAATTCTAATGTGAAGTCCAAAATAGGAGGATTGAGAGGGTTGATGTAAGATGTAAGTCTTGCAGTAATCAATACATGTAGGTCAAGATACACATTTTTAAGAGAACTTGTACATGAAAATGTAAATTATAGATATGTAAATTAGGGATTAGTTCTCCCCATTCACAACTGTTTACTCGCCCAATTGAATATAAGGTTTATTGTATATGGAAAATAGTTATTGTATATGGAAAATAGTTATTGTATATGGAAATAGTGGTAATTTAAGGTCCCATGAAAAAAAACAATTGAGAAGGAGACAGTTATTCCTGGATCATAATATTTCATGTTCACATACAAGTCCCCTTAAAAACATGTAGCCTTACATCCCAAATAAGCATTAATAAATCCCTGTGTCCCAGCCTCTCATATTAAAGCCACGTACCTGCCACATATAGAGCTGCAGTTGATAACACATAACCATGGATATTACTGACGTTACATTGTACTGTTCTTATGTCAAACTCTTTGTTCACTTTTGGGAATGTCACTTGTGATGGCATTGTTGGAATGTTTACAGACATAGAGGCTGTATCTATAATCAGATTACATTATAATATATCAGATCAGATTATATGGCAGATTGTATACATCATATGACAGGTATTATACCATTTAAAAATATATATGTATTTTTAGTTGAAAAGATATATAAATTCTCATTGACCATGTTAAGAATATAATGGTTCCTCAATTCAATTCAATTTATTAATTTCATTATTCAACAGATATCTCATTTCACTATACCAATTGTAATTGTACACTCACTGTAATTTCTTCAATATGTTGTTTTTAGTAAAGAAAATGAATAAAATTATAAAATGTTCTCAAGATTGAACCTTCACATGCTGGGCTGTACTCAGAAGAATAAATAATCTAAATGTATGCCACACTTATATCTATTGGAGTGTCTTAATTACCTTCAGCTGGAATAAGTTCTTGAAACCTGGCAGGTAAATTATCTGGTAAATATTCATTGCATTGACGACCATTTATCTCTCCAACACAACAAAAATAGCAGAATAGATTTTTGGAGTTTCCATAGCAACCTTGATCATTTCCTGCCATATTATTTAGACAGGCTTCCGTCTGCTTGGCGCGTTTGTTGATTCTCAAGCGCACCGAGTCATATCGAATTTCTGTCTCACAGGAACACTTCAGCTGAAGAATATAATATTGAGGGAATATATGAAAAAATGTTTAGTACAATAAATTGTTGTCTTCTCAAAATGCAAACATCATATGAAGAAATAGAGGATATCCTATGATTTATGAGTGATATGATTTTTATCCACGAATGGATATGATATCAATATCCATGAGTGGATTAAAATCATATCACGAGTAAATCATAGGATGTTCTTTTTATTCCATAGTTAAAGTCATCATCAGAATCATCGGAAATTAAGTTATTTAATTAGAATTTTCCAAACGATCCGGCGATGTTGACACTTAGCCTCATTTTGAGTCTGAAGTAGCAAAAATCCATAAACCATCGCATACAGTGCCGTATGTCATGGCTAAAAAACCGTATGCTATGGTTAAGTGAAAATTTGTCAAAAATATCATATTTTACCACTGATTACAAAAATACCGTTTTTATTTTCACATGTTATCCTATGAATATCATGCTAACTATGGAATAATGTGAATTATAATGTTGAAGTCATATTTCAAACATGCATGATGAAACAATTATTTTGTATTCATTTTTCACTGAAGTAAATGTACATCATTTACGAAATCAAAGACATCTAAAAAACGTTCTCAGAATTAATTCAAATATATTCTAGCTCAGAATCTTATACCGTATTAGATTTTATTATAATTAATTGATTATAATCAATATTTAATATATACTGTAACATACATGTAATAGTGAGAATTAATCATCTGAAAGGTATCATGATGACCATTCAATCTCGATGAGCTAGGAATGATTACTGACTTGACAAAGTAGTTTTTAAAGCTGATCAAGAACATAATATTTCTGACTTACCCCTTCAATACATAGCACAAGCTCTCCTTCTTCCTGGCACTGTTCATTAGATGAGGCATCACTGCATGTCCAGCAGCTATCAGTAGTGCCTAAAACATAGAAGCATAAAATTATGCATGTAAGCAAGTTATCTAAAAATTTGCAAGGCATCTTCATGATCATAAAATTATTAAGGAATAAATAAAGATAGGCCATTCAATATGGCGAAATTCAGCACAAGCTGAACAGAATGTCGGACAAAGCATGAGCCAAAGGTGAGTGCATTTGTACTGACATTCTGTCCAACGAGCATCTATTGAGAATAAGAGAACGTTCTATATTGGCTATGCTGCATTCTGATTGCAGGTCGTCCACCTGATGGCAATTTGCGTATTTGTCAGGCGTTTGCAGAAGAAATTGAAGTCAAGCCAGATTTTTTTGTGTGACAGAATATGTCATGCAAATACGCATTTTACCTGATAATTGTCAAGCAAAAATATTTCTGTAGAAGAACTGAATGCCGATACACAAAAAACAAACGCCGAAAAAAGCGAAAACATATACCATTCAGACTTTTCACATGTCACGCATTTGCTTTGAATTTTTTTGTACCTACCAATCAATTAGATATAGAGCATGGTCATGTTTGAATCTGTAACAATGGACTCACTTGTAAAATTATTCTGCTTGAAGACTTTCCCATTAACAAGCCATGTAATCAGGGCCCTAGGATTACTGTATGCATCACAGTTAAAAACTGCATCATAACCCTCAAGTACAAACTGATTTCGTAGCAGATTTCTCAGCTTTGGGGCACCTGCAAGATATAACATGATTCTTTGTCTGTTTGTTTGTTTGTTTGATTATTTTCTTGCTTGTTTGTTCATTGTTGAGATGATGCTATTGTTAAATTTATTGTAGCACTTATTTTTTGGTTCTGTCAAGTGTATATTTCCAGGATTTCCAAAAATTCATACTATACCCTGTCCATTATTTAGAGAAGATAGATGACAGGTATATGCTACATAATTTTTTGAAGAATTTTCATACTTGGGTCTTAAAATCTTAGTTTCACAGAGAAGGTAAAGAATTCATTGATTGAGTATTCTTAAATTTAGCCTAATTTTTTACCGCCAAATCACATTATAATTCATTTATCAAATATCAATTATAAACACATAACAAGGCATTAACATGACAAAATGTCACCCTAGTTGCTAACAATATTATTAGTTCAATCTTAAGTCAGATTTGAATTTCTGGAAACTTGTAGATGATTTTGAAAAAAAATTGAACAAAGAAGGTGAAATCTCAAATCTAAAGTCAGATTTGAACTTTTGGAAACTTGTAGATGATTTTGAAAACAACTGAAGTCAATCTTAACAGTATTTGTTTGTTAAGACCTTTAGACCTTTTTTGACCTTGAGAAGATCAATGAAGGTCAAATCTCAAATCCAAAGTCATGATTTGAAATTTCTGAAAACTTGTAGATGATTCTGGAAATAAAGTTTGAGGCAAGTTGAAAAAATAGGACCCACGGTCCTGTGCTCACACAGTTTGGAACCTCCAGAGGAATGTATATCCTGACTTTCAAACAAAAATATTGATTTGGATTTGTAGTCTTGAACTTTGAGAAACTTAGACAACACAGTTGTGTGACCTAATTTGATGACCTTTGACCTTGAAAATTTTACTTATTTAGAGCTCAGTAAGGTATTTTGTGATTAAGCTGACCAAAATTTACATCCAAAAATCAATTTGAAAAATCAACTTTTTTGACCTTTCAAAGGTCACTGAAGGTCAAGTAAAGGTCAAATCCTAAAACTAATGTCAGATTTGAACTCGTGGTAACTTGTAGATGATTTTCAAAAAAACATTTGGTCAAATTGAAGCAAGTTAAAAAATATCTTATTTTTACTGTTTTTTGACGTCAAATATCTCAAAAACGGTAAAAATTTGATGCTGACATATATTGAGCAATATGTAGGGAATGCTTAAATCTAGATATGATGTAATTCATTGCAAGAAATGATCAAGTATAAGGCAAACTTTGAGAAACTTGTCAATCACAAAACCTGCCAAAAGACTTTATACAGAAGAAAGTTTCCTGAAAATGTCCTACTTTTTGTCAAATTTATAAAGTAAACACCAAAAACTATAATTCCAAGAGCTTTGAAATCTTCAGAGGACATAAGTTGCATATACAGCAACTACTACAAGTTATTTGAAAGTTCTACTTCAACAAAGTGTCTTAAGTATTTACAGAAAATTTGACTTTTTGACGTCAAAATCAGCAATTTCTCGGAAACCGGGCCAACTTTGGAAATAGCGATGATAGGTCAAATAGGCATTATGGATATGCATAAAATGACTGTGGATATGACTCAATCCGAATAGCAGTTTTAATTTGTGCGGCCAATGTTGACGGACGGACTGACGGACCAATGGAGGGACGGTACGACCAACGGACGGACCAACAGACGGACGGAGCCAAAAATACCTTTTTGACCTTTTTTTACTTTTAAAAGGTCACTGAAGGTCAAATCTTAAATACAAAGTCAGATTTGAACTTCTGAAAACTTGAAGATGATTTTGAAAACAACTGAAGTCAGTCTTACCAGTATTTGTTAAGTTATTGGAAGTTTTAAGAATTTGTAACAAACACCAACCACCAACTGGCGATGGCCAACCGTCGCCACAAAAAAACCAGAGACCACAATTTTTAGTGGTGACATAATAAATAAATATTAATTTGATAGATATCTTACTTTCTACAATAACTTGATATGTTGCTGAAGTTTTCATTTTGAGTTCCTCCATAATCTCCCCTGATTCATCTTCTACAAGTTCAATACAGTCACATGTGTAGTTCCCCTCATGTATTTGTCTCACTGACTCAAAATGTAGCACTCTACTGAACGGTGGCTTCACTTCGTAGTCTTGATGTGTGGGAGTAGTCCATCTTGATTCTACACCTCTGTGATACATGTTACATTATATTACATTAATATATTATTTCAATCTCTAACAGTACCATACTGTGCCATTTTGGCTATGACACCATACAGTAATATCCCCAGTATCTTTTCTCAGGTGGGTGCAATATTCTCATTTTCACAATTCAGACCAAAAATGGTCAAAAAATGCCGATTTTCCCATTTTCAGATGGATGCAAGCCTATTTTCAAAATCTCAGGTGGGTGCTGCACCCACTTGCTTTAATGCTGGGGAGATCACTTCCATAGATTCAAACAGTACTGTAAAGTACTGTGAACACTGCGCAGTATGGTACCATACTATGTGAATACAGTACCGTGTGACATTATACTCTTAATATACCATATGGTATCATAAAAAAGACTACATGTCCTATGTTATTATATTATACTACATCTCAGAGTTTAGATTATAGGTGTACATGTCTTGCACAGATTTACATGTAAGTTATTCCTTATTCAATATCAAACAGATATTTGTAAAATTGTTTTTACTGTACAACGATAATACATGATTTGACATTATTTTGATGTACCTTGAACCAGCACACATGAAATGCAGGTCCAGCAACTCCTCTTCTATGTCCACTAAAGGACTCTTGCTTTGAACCAGCACACATACACTGCAGGTACAGCAACTCCCCTTCTATGTCCACTAAAGGACTCTTACCTTGAACCAGCACACATGAAATGCAGGTCCAGCAACTCCTCTTCTAAGTCCACTAAAGGACTCTTACCTTGAACCAGCACACATGAAATGCAGGTCCAGCAACTCCTCTTCTAAGTCCACTAAAGGACTCTTACCTTGAACCAGCACACATGAAATGCAGGTCCAGCGACTCCTCTAATAAGTCCACTATAGGACTCTTACCTTGAACCAGCCCACATGCACTGCAGGTCCAGCGACTACTCTTCTAAGGCCACTAAAAGACTCTTACCTTGAACCAGTACACATGCACTGCAGGTCCAGTGACTCTCCTTCTAAGGCCACTATAGGACTCCTACCTTGAACCAGCACACATGCACTGCAGGTCCAGTGACTCTCCTTCTAAGGCCACATAGGACTCTTACCTTGAACCAGCACACATGCACTGCAGGTACAGCGTCTTCCCTTCTAAGGCCACTAAAGGCATCTTACCTTGAACCAGCACACAGGTCCAGTGACTCCCCTTCTAAGGCCACTAAAGGACTCCTACCTTGAACCAGCACACATGCACTACAGGTCCAGCGACTCTCCTTCTAAGGCCACATAGGAATCTTACCTTGAACCAGCACACATGCACTGCAGGTACAGCGACTCCCCTTCTAAGGCCACTAAAGGACTCCTACCTTGAACCAGCACACATGCACTACAGGTCCAGCGACTCTCCTTCTAAGGCCACATAGGAATCTTACCTTGAACCAGCACACATGCACTGCAGGTCCAGTGACTCTCCTTCTAAGGCCACATAGGACTCTTACCTTGAACCAGCACACATGCACTGCAGGTACAGCGACTCCCCTTCTAAGGCCACTAAAGGACTCCTACCTTGAACCAGCACACATGCACTACAGGTCCAGCGACTCTCCTTCTAAGGCCACATAGGAATCTTACCTTGAACCAGCACACATGCACTGCAGGTCCAGCGACTCTCCTTCTAAGGCCACTATAGGACTCCTACCTTGAACCAGCACACATGCACTGCAGGTCCAGCGACTCTCTTTCTAAGGCCACATAGGAATCTTACCTTGAACCAGCACACATGCACTGCAGGTCCAGCGACTCTCTTTCTAAGGCCACTATAGGACTCCTACCTTGAACCAGCACACATGCACTGCAGGTCCAGCGGCTCCCCTTCTAAGGCCACTAAAGGACTCTTGCCTTGAACCAGCCCACATGCACTGCAGGTCCAGCGACTCCCCTTCTAAGGGCACTAAAGGACTCTTACCTTGAACCAGCACACAGGTCCAGCGACTCCCCTTCTAAGGCCACATAGGAATCTTACCTTGAACCAGCACACATGCACTGCAGGTCCAGCGACTCTCTTTCTAAGGCCACTATAGGACTCCTACCTTGAACCAGCACACATGCACTACAGGTCCAGCGACTCTCTTTCTAAGGCCACATAGGAATCTTACCTTGAACCAGCACACATGCACTGCAGGTTCAGCGACTCTCCTTCTAAGGTCACATAGGACTCTTACCTTGAACCAGCACACATGCACTGCAGGTCCAGCGACTCTCTTTCTAAGGCCACTATAGGACTCCTACCTTGAACCAGCACACATGCACTACAGGTCCAGCGACTCTCTTTCTAAGGCCACATAGGAATCTTACCTTGAACCAGCACACATGCACTGCAGGTTCAGCGACTCTCCTTCTAAGGCCACATAGGAATCTTACCTTGAACCAGCACACATGCACTACAGGTCCAGCGACTCTCTTTCTAAGGCCACATAGGAATCTTACCTTGAACCAGCACACATGCACTGCAGGTTCAGCGACTCTCCTTCTAAGGCCACATAGGAATCTTACCTTGAACCAGCACACATGCACTGCAGGTTCAGCGACTCTCCTTCTAAGGCCACATAGGACTCTTACCTTGAACCAGCATACATGCACTGCAGGTCCAGCGACTCTCCTTCTAAGGTCACATAGGACTCTTACCTTGAACAAGCACACAGGTACAGCAACTCCCCTTCTAAGGGCACCAAAGGACTCTTACCTTGAACCAGCACACATGCACTGCAGGTCCAGCGACTCCCCTTCTAAGGCCACTATAGGACTCTCAGTGGAGTAATACATCTCAGTAGGAAAGTCCTCAATATCTAGAAAATAAACACACTTAATTAATTTTCTGTATAATTTACATCTCATAACTTAATTGTTTATGTATAAATTATTCCTTTCTAACTCCACCATTTAAAATTATCTGATCATATTTCATGATCTAATCGAATTCAATCGGAAAATGAATCAAGGAACAACTGTTACTAAACTAACTGACCCATTCTGGTCACAGGCTGGCAAAGTCTACTAGTTAAGGTTATAGCCATGGTTACGTGAGCTAATGGATCACATGACCCATTTGTCTTAAATACCTGTCTTCAAGTGTGTCTGACAAATGACATCGGTCTCTCTTTCACAAGGCTGATCGACGAATTGCTTACGGACAATATCATACACAATACAGTCCAATAAAACCTCGCTAGTCTAGAATAAAAACAGAATTATAGTATAAATGACATCTCCATCTTCAGGCGTTAAAAAATATATTATTTTGATACTCAACAGGATTCAAGTAACACATCATGGCACATTGGTGGCACTATCCTAAATGCTAATTTCATGTACCTGAACTACTCGTTCTGTAAATGGTGTACCATCAAACCAGGTGTATTTAGTATTGCTATCAATAATAATGGACCTCATGCCGACAAATACACGAGTTGAAATCCCTGAAATTCAGAAAAAACATTTTTGAATCACTATTATGCCACCTATGGTATTTACTAGGGGTGTAAGTGTCTAAAAAAGTGACCTTAATACAATTTTTCCAGCATATACGGATATCATTCAGTTTTTCAAATGCTGAAAAGACTGAGTCCATTGGTTGCATTGTAAATTGCTGAATTATTTGCAATGTTTTACATTGTACATTGCATACATACAAGTAATAGTGTGCAACAGCCCAATGTACAGCAAAAGAAACAAGGTCAATGAGAGGAGTGCCTGACGAACTAATCCACCAGATTTAGTAGTCATACAGGGTTGTCATGACAGCAAGCCTCATTCTGAGTTGCATGTAAACCTAATGGAGGAGTTCAAGTTGCAAACATTTCTCATTAGTGTTTTTTTTAATACAATTATAGAAACTTACCAACATTCATGATTTCATGGAGAAAATATCTATCCATCTGAGTCTTAGGCATCACCAGCACAGCCCTAAAAGCATTTCCACATTTGTGAGTTAACAAATATCCAGGTGTTACATGTATACATCTGACCATTTGAAAGAACTTTAAAAATCCTAAGTAGATGTTCTTCACTTTAAACATATTAATATTTGCCATGTAAAATAAGTACAGTTTAAATAAAAGATGTTTGTGTAATATATGCACAGCAATCAAATCACGAAATGGTGGCTAAAAAGTGAGAGTTTCAAATGAAACAAAATGTAAATGAACAGTACGCAGATCTTAACCCTCTTAGCAGAGTCTACAAGAACATTACCTTATATGGATAGGGAAAGTGTCAGCATTCATACAATGGATGGCTTTTATGAATTTTTTTTCGTTGAATACTGTACTTCTACTTAATTTGGCAGATCCACCAAATTGTTAAAGTCCGCCAAATTAAGTAGCCGACAAATTTCTCTCAATAAATTTCTTTGGAGTGCCATTCATTCAAATTGAACTATAAACAATGTAAATAAGTTCATACTTAGATCTAGCGCATGTTGCTATAGCAGTATCCATGTTGTCAGCTTTTGAGACACCACTGTAACAACTTCCTGTGGTGATGTTTCCATAGAAACCACTGTTGTGATCACAATAAGGTGTACCTAAATAAAAATGCAAAAGGTTCTTATTATGATACTATAGTTTTGTACAAATTAAAAGAAAAATCAGAAACTATATCTATATCAGAGTATGTAAATACATGTAATACATTTGAAATGAATTAATTCATAAATACACTACCCTGAAACCCAAAGACTAAGTTAATTGCTACCCTCTGAAAAAGAAAAGCAATTTTTAAGATGGCATTCATATAATGTACATTGTCGACGGAAAATGTGCGATGCTTTCAACTATACATATGTTAAATGTCATCATCATAATTGCTCTACTACATTTTGAGTTAAAATTAATATAATACAATAGCTATGTGATTACCATTTTCAAGATGGCACAATATTTTTTTGTTTGTTTTTTTACTAAATCAAGATCATTTTACACACCAAGAAAAAACTTATAGTACACAAAATAAAGTACACATGCATATAAAAAATAAACAATTGTGTTTGAGTTATTTCCTGGATGGACAGACAGATGAATTGATGGGCAGACAAATGGATGGATGGATGGATGGATGGATGGGCAGACAAATGGATGGCTGGATGGATGGCTGGATGGATGGATGGATGGATGGATGGATGGATGGATGGATGGATGGATGGATGGATGGATGGATGGATGGATGGATGGATGGATGGATGGATGGATGGATGGACAGACGGATGGCTGGATGAATGGATGGATGGATGGATAGATGGAAACACTGACAGACAAGTGGGCAATTACAATAGCTCACCCATGTTAGCATGTCCATCTAAGTTGTATCAAAACCACCTTGGAAGTGAAAAAATATGATAAGCAAAGATGTTTTACAAACCTCCAATAACAGTTACATTGTAAAACCCTGAGGCGACTCGTGTGTTGAGGACCGTATTTGTAGCAACGCAGGCATATAAATGACGTGTACTTATGAAACCATCTTGGTACTGAGCCATGAGAAATCTGAAGTTACCTATAAAATGAAAGATCAACCCTTAAAATACAAGACTATACTGATGACTATAAGTGTTTTTATAAGTCAGTTATAAGACAGAGAAGTAAATAAAGCAAGCCACTCAACAACATACATTTAAATAAAAAACATTGTGTCAGTGGCCCATGGGAGAACTTCTTTTAATCTATTCTTGATGATTAACATAACATTAATATAGAGGATGTAATCAACTAAAGAGCAAATAATGTTACTATGGTAACAAACCCTCTTGATCCATCCCATGATTCTCAGTTTCAACGATTTCAGTTGATGTGAGTCGCCCTGTAGGTGTGGCCCACTCCCAGTGTAGTACAGTATCTGGGACACTCTCGGGACTCTTGCATGGAAGGGTAAGCTTGTCTCCCGCCAGAACCATCACCTGAGTTTCCTCGATGGTGTGGTAAAGATTTATCCCTGAATAATATAATATGATATTCTAATATCACTACTGCCTAAACATGGGTTCTACTTTTAGTGTAACTTAAGCAATTCAGCATAAAATTATTCTTGATGGTATTGTTGGATCCACAACTTGCGAAAGGCAATATTTTTTCATTAGGAAATTACTAAATTGTTAATAAACGAGAAAGTCTTAAGAGTTGTGAATGTGAAGAAGGTATTCATATGACAAGACGATTCCTCAAAAAGCAGAACTCCAGAAATCGTTATGCACAATACTTAACCACTTAGACCACACAGACACCATATATAGCAGTCTCAAAGAATGTTGGGCGTAACAATAGGTCACCACATTTTTGAAATTTTTATCATATTTCAATAATTTGATTCCGACCAGAATGTATAAAAATACAGTTATTAATCGCAACTTACGTGCCATTTTGAGATGAACGCTGTCGGAGATTGCTATTCCATATTTGTTCACACATGTCACATGGTATATTCCTTCACTCTCCTCATTGGCTGATATTAACTGGAGATTATTCCCATCATTTTCCAGGAAAATATTCTCACTATATTGAACTGGAACACCACCTTTATGATAGCGACATCTGAATTGACAAAGGCGTATAGTGTTATTAATTGTAAAGGTAATGCATGGTAGCACAAAAACAAAGCATCAAGATTGTGAAAATTTATATCTTATTTTATATTTTATATTTATACAAATAAGAAGTAAGTTTATTGCCACCCAAATGTATATACTGCAGTGAATTCAAACCAAAAAACACATCACTTGAATGGTCCTATTTGTGAGTAATATTTGAATCGAATTTGTTCCAATGTGTGTTTTTCAGTTTTGTATTATTACCTAAGATCATTTATTATATTTTATATATTTATATATAAAAGATATTACAATAAATACAAATGTAGGTAAACTGGGTAAGTATTTAAGGTGGTTATACACCCAGAGGCCTGAAAATAAATTAATGATGTGTAAGTGTATATTCCATAATTTTATATTTAAATGCTTATTACAGAACTATAGCAAAGCTCAACAAAAATGCATCAAAAATAGCATTAATCAGTATGATTTATTGAATCCATCTATATTTATGTAAACTAAAAAAATATTTTTCAAATTACAAATTCATGAAACCAAAAGCTGTCAAATCATTGCAAGTGTATAATACATGTATAACAAGTTGTTCATTCAGTTTTTAGCACTATCCATGACAATTTGAATAATTACCTTGGTTTTGGTTGTCCATTTATTTGAAAATACAGGGTAACATCCTCATCCAGGGTGAAATATTTCAGGTTTGACTGTAGTGAATTCACGGTTGGTGCCCCTGGTGCAAGAACATCCTGGCAATTCACAAAGTCTGCACAAAACAAGAAAAAATTGTTCGTTATAGAATTGAAAATCATCATTTAAATCCATGTTTTGCCAACTAAACACATCAAAGCACTTTCATATTAGGCTTAACATAATGTTTCTGGTCCATAAATTATGGGTTAAATGACTAAATTATGGGACACCTGATAAGAGGGACATAGGATTAAGATATTATCTGCTTGATTAAAATATGGGACATCCAATGATATATGGGTGCCATAACTAAAATATGGGCAACATACCGGTAATTAAAATATGGGCAACATGTTTAAGTTATCTGGGTCACAGAATTAGAATATGGGCTTCATAATCAAGTCATGGGTCATAGACAAAGCACACAATTTGGCAAAATAAAAAATAAAAGTACGTATGTATACAGATTTGAATCAACCTCATACATAAAATAGGTGCATAAAAATCTATATAAGCGTTTGGATTCAAATCTTTTATAATTGTATAAAAGATGCAACATGATACAAAAAAAATTGTGTAAAATATTTTGTTAAATGACATAAGCTATTGGCTTTAAAATATTTCACAAGAATGTAAAGAATGTAGACATATCACACCACCTGCATTCACCCATATTTTCCATGGCCATTTTTCACTTTAAAACACATTAGCACTTCTTTAATGTAACACATGACACTAACTGGGAGTTTTAGGAAAGTTATGAATTGCTATTCTAGAATGCCATTCACAAAATACAATGAAAAAATATAGCTAGTTATTCTACTTATTCAGACTGAATTCCTAAGAAACTACAAACTATACATGCAACATATTCTGAAATTCATAACATCTTTCTGTTCTGCAACTAGAATATATTTCTCTAGAAATGATCTGATAGAAGGCAGTGATGTCAGGATCTTGATGACATGTAATTCTCCAGCTTTAAGTGTTTTCAGTATAAACAATCCTTACTCTTACACCCAGGGAATACATATCAATTACGTACATGTACGTGTACAGTAGGTTAAAATTAAAGCAGCAATAAGGAAAAGAAAGTATAAAACATCCTTTTTAAGGCCCACATATTGAAGAGTGTATAACAAATAGAAAGTGGTAAGCATTAGGCCTAGTAAAAAATGAAACAAGATCACCGATGATTCAACATGTCAAAAATATTGTGTTGAAAATTAACCAAATTTCCAAGCCAAACAGGCCAGTTTATGGTCATCTCTAATGGCCATCCATTTTGGTCAACTATTTTGGTCATGCATTATGGTCAGCTATCATGGCCAGCAATTATGGTCAGCCATTGTGGTCAAGTTCTATGGTCAAAGAAGTCTCTCCATTTTATTATAAGGAGAATTGAGTAAGTTTATTTAAGGGAAGGTTTATCAATGTAACATTTATAACAGAAAGGAGTCTTAAAATTACATATTGTTTTGACCTCTCCTCTTATACGAGGGTTGATCCAAAAGTTCTAGACCGTTTGCTCTAAAAATCCCAATTCTTCATGAATATTGTTCATATTTGGCCTAAACCACCCAATATATCGGGTGTCCCAAAAAAAATGAGACACTTTTTGCAAAGTATTTTTCTCGGCAACTAATTGACCAAATTCACTGATAATTTGTAAAAAATTAACGCGAGAGTATCATTAGCAAGTTGTACAAATAGAAAAAAGATCAAGTAAATATTCTGCAAGTAATAAGAGATTCAAAATAGCATGTCAAAAATCCCCATACCGGAAGTCTGCGATGAGACCTCTATAGTGTTTGTACCAGCTATCAGGTAATAGCATTTGTAAATAAGTCAAAATAGCTTGTCTGTGTGTCATGTCTACTTAATTCATTTCATTCTTCCCAAATATCCAAAATCCATTCATTCTCAAAATTCATTGGAGGTGATATTGTTAGAATAAATACGGAAAGGTATTTTGCATGAAAAGGATTAATAAGTGAGATTTACATCTATATTGGTTGTTTTTACATACTGTTTTTAATCCAACAATACACACATAATTATGGAGCCAATCCCTTACGTATTCATAGCATGAGCAGAAGATACCCTAAAGTTTCTCAAGTACAGTTTTCAAATAATTTTACTCATCCATTGCTGAGAAATCACTTGTCAAATTCTTCCAATTTTTGGGCAAACGCGATGAAAATTCTAATTGTTTTGCTCCGGTATTGGACATTTTCACATGCTATCTTGAATTTCTTAGTACTCACATAACATTTATCTGATCTTTGTTATATTTCTGTACCTTCCTAACGATACTCTAGGGCTACTTTGTAAAAATTTTCAAAAAATTTGGTTTATCAGTTGCCGAGAAAATACCTGGCAAAAAGTGTCTCATTTTTTTTGGGACACCCGATATAGTAGTTTCATTTTCTGTAAAAATAAGCAATTTCTTTGACCAGTAACATGAATATCAGTGGCTACTATAGCAACATTAAAATAGGGTATATGGAGCAAGAGTACAACACATTGGAAAAAGTAAAATAATGAAAACTGAAAAAATGGAAATGTTCTCTAAGCTGAGTCTGTTTCATTTCAATTACAATGAGTATTGTTATCACAGGAGGTTGATCCCATGGGCAAAGGGGTGAAACATCATGTAATGTGAGCAGGGATGTCTTAAATGTAGTCTTTAAAGGTAGGACTTGGTCTGTCAACAATAAATGAGTATGTACAATGCATCGCATACACAAATATGGAGTCTGAGAAACACCTATCTTAAACCTATGTCTCCTTAAGGATGAAGATTAGATGTTTAATAAAATAAAATTACAAAATCAGCTGTAAATCGTCCTCTAAAATATCATTTTAACCTCATTAATTCATTAATTGCTCCTTTTTTCCATCTACAATTTCTGAAGCATGTGTATACATGTATCGAATTGTTGAATATGTATACACTGCACAATTTTCTGGAAAATTAGTCGAGAGAACATGTCCTGCCTACGTTTTACCTTGTATATCAAGATTTTCATATGCTAATCTTACACGATTATTCATATATCATATTTAACGAAATAAAAAAGACAATTTCACCCACATACTCTCAACATGGTATTCAAAACATTTTATGAAAAGATTGATTAATTTATTTGACCCTAAATTTTTTGTCATCCCGTATATTTATTTAAACAGATGTCAAAATGACATATTATATAAAGACAGTTATTTCCTACACCTGAAGATTTATTGTTTGCATTCAGTTAGAAAGCATGAAGGTATGTATATTAGAACTTATTGTTATGAATTCAGTTGAAGGGATGATTTTTTTTTGGGGGGGGGCACGAATATGGTGTTTTATTCAAAACTTTCTAAATAAGATTTCAAGTAAATATTAACATGCCTATGTTTTTATTCTTTTAAGACTCGTTTTAGTTTGATAAAAAGAGAATTATTAAGACTCATTTTAGTTTGATAAAATGACAAATATTTTTTCTATTAGATGCACCTTAATGTAAGAGTGCCACTGTTAAAAAAGATCTAAATAAATGAATAAATAAATAAGTATGCAGATTTGAACAAAGTATTGAAAATACCAGTTCATTTGAATGTTCAGATCAAGTTTTTGATATTCTAGGAGGCCTTTATGCCTATTTAATTATCTTTTTCTTGGGGGGAGGGGGTGGAATAAAAAATGAGAATAGACATTGTTTGTTACCTAGGCTCTGAGAGTGAGAATACATTCTGTTAATGAAGACCGCCCTGTAATTTGCACTCAATTTATAAAACCTATATACCAAAACAGAATTCTTACCCAAGAAGAGGTTTAATGTACAATAATACAATTTCTTCTTCCATAATAGTATGGTCCATATGACTCCAAAGTTGTTAACAATCAAGTCATAACATGAAAAATGCCCCTATCTGGTTAGTTATTAAAATAAGTATAAACGTGTAACAAATCTGAAACACTGACTGCAGACCATATGCATGCAGACTGCTACAAACAAAACTGAGACCATAACAATATGTCACCACTTAATGGGGTGAAATAGAAAAAACTTTATATGATTATGAGCATCTGGTAACCTGACAATTACTGCTGGTTAGGCATGTTAATAATATCAGATAGGTTTTAGTCATCCTCCATATCGCAGGGTTACAGAATCATACACAAAGTTCCTTTCGAAGAAGGAGGGAACGTTGTGCATGATTCTGTAACCCTGTGGTTTTAGTGTATGTCATTTAAAGGGACACTACTCCTGGTTTTATTTCCCAAACAACCAGCCAGACCAGTTATCAATCATGGCCTTATCAAATAATTGATGTATCATGTTATATGTGTACTTACAAGCACTCATTAAAGTGGCTGTCTCATTTTTCAATTACATTGGTATTTATTAGAACAATACAGAGATAATGATCAAGCTACAATTAAAATAAAATGAATTTAATTGGGTTGTTGTAGAAATGATTTGAAATGCAAACTCTATAATATACCTTTCATAATAGGTTATTCTGCAGAATATCAAAAATGTCAAAAATTAGGCTGTCATAATAGATTTAGAGCTTGGGTAAAATAACTAAACAATTATAACAAACAAAAAAACATATACAGTTGAACACCTTTGGTACCTCTAAAAAGTGTTCCACTAGGGAGGTGTTCGACATACAGAGGTTTATTTAACATTAAGACAGTTGGTCTTGGGTCTCTGAAAAGTGTTCTACTAACAGAGGCATTCTACTTCTAAAGGTGTTCCACTATACAGGTTTCACTGTAAGTATATAACAAAACATATAAAGCATAGTGTGTAACATGATCAGGTGACTTTAACAATGAAACCCCAGTTGGAACCATTAAAACCCCCACAAGGATCTGAATGTAGTGCATAAATCACACATGTCACTCTGAGTCAGAGAGTTAGGATGAGTAGACAGGGGAATCAGGGAGCAAAACAATGAAGCATATCAACTCTTTCTGAGAAAACTGAATGATCTCGCCTGCCTCCAGCTGGTAGTAGTCGATTTATCATGAAAAGAATACCAATTCATGTTGACCCCTCCGCCTGTTTGCTTACAACTGAACCTCACACATGTACCAATTAGTAAATCTACAAGAAGACAAAGACTTTTGGAAATAGACTCTAGGGCAGACTATATAACAAGAACAATGTAACCTTCAGTAAATCTAAATAAATTATATTCCACAGAAATAGCTTGGAAACTTGAGCTGTAGCCTCATGCTGCCATGCACTGTTAGGGGCCTCTATCATCAATCCCTCCCCCAAAGTTCAATCTACAATGTTTAAAAAATCTGAAAATGCTCAACCAAGGGATTTGTATGTCCCTCCCTTCCTTTAGTTATAGCTTATCAAATTGTTCTTGCATGGGCTAAACTGTCAAGAGTCAAAGCACAGCAAGTTCAGATTCAATGTTCCTACAAACCGATCATATCCAAGAACGTATATACAAATGTCACCTTATATTTTTTACAACACATTAGGAGGTGAACAGACAAAAAACACATGTAGGCTTCCACATAACATTTATCAATTACAAATAGTTGTCAACCTGTGATTGAAATTTTATGTGCTGTTTGATGTTATTTTAGTCCAGCTATTATTTGAATTTTAAGATCTAACTTTTGATATGTTAGGGACATTTAGGCATTTTTAAATGAGGTATATTTTCTAAATTATGTCTTCTTTTTTTGGGAGGGGGGGGTATAATTGTTTTCAGGTCGATTTCTTGAGAGGAAGGTAGCAAGGCACACAGCCATCCCCATTGTGTCAGTTCTGGGTGAGTTGGGGGGGGGGGGCAGACATAATCATATTTTAAAATGATGTATGATGGTCTCCTATTAAACCGAGACAAATTGTCATCCTGGTGATATTTCAAAAGAGTACAGGAGTAAAATCAGCAAGGAATAAAGGTTGGCTATAGAACATATTAGTATAGTGATGAGTGACCAGAAGTGGCCTCTTGAAACAGGCACCATCACTCATTCATGATTGCTAGAAATTCAAATAAAACAAAAATTTCATTATTTTGAGATAGAAAATATATGTGATAAGATTAAAAGACAAAGATCTGTGAAAAGAGAATTTTTTCATTGTATTTTTTCATTACAGAATACATGTACAATGTACATATTTACCAATAACTTAATAGACATTTCATAGAATAAGAAAAAAATGGAGTTGAGAGACTGTGATACTATTAATGAGAGACTGTAAATACAGACTATTAACTAGAGACTATAAATACAGACTATTAATGAGAGACTATAAATACAGACTATTAATAAGAGACTATAAATAAAGACTATTAACTGGAGACTATAAATACAGACTATTAATGAGAGATTATAAATTCAGACTATTAACTAGAGACTATGAATACAGACTATTAATGAGGGACTTTAAATACAGACTATTAATGAGAGAGGATAATTACAGACTATCAATAAGAAACTATAAATACAGACTATTAATGAGAGACTAAAAATACAGACTATTTATAATGTGAAACTCTAAATATAAATAAGAGATTACTATTAAAAAGGCATCAGCTTTTAGAAAAAACAGAAGTACAGTGAAGTCTGTCAAGGTGGAACACATTTGGTATACACCTCTAAAAAGTGTTCCACTTGGGAGATGTTCCATAGAGGTTCATTTAACATTAAGGGAATCTGGAAAGTGTTCCACTTATAGAGGTGTTCCACTTTGAGAGGTGTTCTACTTTACAAGTTTCACTGTATATTAAAGCTCATACACTGTACACAGTATAGCATGTCAGATAATTATTAGCAGAAAAAAACTTGAACGGAGTAAAAATATTTTGAGGAGAAACATAGAAGCAAACTAGCAAATCACACACATAAAAAAAACTTGGCACAGATTGATGAGGCCCAGTGTTCTTTGTTTACTTTTTCACTTTTCAAAACAGTCCTGATCTTTTACTATGAGGAAGTGATTCCTAATTCTATATGCTAACCTGATGCAAACAATAAAACACTGATGAGACACGCCCAAATCTTTAAATCATAAAATAAAGGAATTAAACTGTCAAATAAAATCAACAGAAACGATTTTTTCACACATATAGTCACGTTATATTGTGATAGACTGATAAAGAATTCTATGTTTGAAAACTAAGGCATTTACAATTTAATGTCAGTTAAGCAGCATATACCTATAGTCACCCCTTAACCAAACCTCTTTCCTGCCTTGTTTTTAGAATCACATAATAGAAATGAAAGGACTGGTAACCATGGTCATTTCTCAAAAATAATTCCATTTAAACACTTAACCTCCTATTTACAGGATATGTTTTGTTTTCTGAAAGCAATACTACTATTGATCTCTGAGTGTGTCATGGATAGTAAGTATCAAAATCAAAGGAGAAATAAACTAGTCCTAAAACTAACTCAGAAACTTGACCTGTGCCCATACATATGCACCATGACAAACTATGACATCTTAATTCTTCTCAAAAGATATTATGGTTTAGATATGGTAATCCAAGAAAACCCAGATTTAATTTTTTTGAATAGCACATCATAACCATCACACATCAGATTAGCTATATAATATATGTATCACAATATCAGAGCATAAGTGAAACAGAAAGATGTGATAAGAATGATACATTGTATTTTGGGCCTATTTTTAAGAAACATGGCCAAAAAATTGAAAAATTGGGCCCAAAATCCTTATAAGCATGAAAACTTTCGCTCCCCTTTTCAGATGTGACCCTGTGTCTGGACCACTGCATCTGGAGGATGCAATTAAAGGTGCTGCCAATGATATAAACTATATAAATACCTATTGTATAGATAATCCATGTCACAGCTAGAAGATAATTGCAAGCAAATTGCTTTGCCATCGTGCCCTGTCTTTAACTCTGTGGCAAGTTTATCTTGATCAAATTCACTGAGAAGCTGTCTTTGGTTTTCGTTTCACCATATGAAGGCAATGATCTTTCTTGTTTTTACCAGGTTACTTTGCATGTCACCTCTATAGGACGTCAGCTGCAGAATCAGCTGCTTACATTCTTTCAGTGTCTGTAAAAAAACAAGACTGAATGATGAAGATTTAAAGTTACATCGTTTTTCTGCTTATTTCTAAAATAAATGTACCCCCTGGAAAATGGATCAAAGGGTAAAAATAAACATTAACATTCTTTTGTTACCTCAGCAATACTTTCAAAAGAGTTATATCTAACATACAATGACATGAAATATGATTCTTTTTCAATGACTTGATGTAATGTTATGAGATGTTAAGAATCCAAAGCTAGATTATTCAACTGTATCCAATCCATCCTTTTCAATACTGGTTTCACATCACTAAGAGTGCTCCATACAAAGTAATTAGCCTCACATCCTCAGAGTATCTGATTACCCTTTTCAATATTTTGTTTTTGCTTCTTTAAAAGAGAACTTCAACAGCAGTGTACATATAGGCCCTATCCATTTATCATTCTGATTTGATGAACCCTATTTCCTAGTGACTATTTCATGTCAATGAGATCCTGTTCTAATATATCAGATTCAGGACCATGTACTACTCTATGTACTCCATATAATCCAATATTGACATTTTGACTATCTTTATTATCAAATCAACTTACAAACATGAAATGAATTGTAAACACATAGATAAGACATAGAGTTATTATGTTTACATGTAAGTTTAATGATTTTCATTGTTTACAGATCTTTGTTTGATCTTGGAAATAAATCAACATTGGCAATGAAAGTTTGATTCAATAAACCCTGTCCTATTTTGCTTCTAAACCTTTTGAGTAAGAGATAATTCTTTGACCTAGCTTTGACCAATCAGACTACTTAGAATATGGTTGATCAAAATACAGCTCCCCAATCAAGTATTCACTGAATTTTATGCTTTCATCATTACCTGGCATTCATTAATAATGAAACTCCCATGAAAGGCAATGACAGCTACTTTTTGTGGATTATAAGACACTTGAGTTAATAAAGAGCTTAGATTTCTTTTAATGAAGTGAAATTAAAAAAATGTAAAAAGGTATTCAAGAACTGATATATTACTTATAATTTCAGATGAGTGAGACAGTACTTCGTGTCATTTCAAACTTTGGGAATTTTTTATTTCTAAACATGAAAAATAAATATATTTTAAAGAAAAAAAGAAAGAATCAAACAAAAACGAAGTATTGAAAACTCTTGTCATCTTATATTACAAAATCATGAATTCATAATTTGAAAAAGAGTCCTGTGGTTTAGACAAGGAGTACTATTTCCCACGAAACATCTCAGTCAAAAACTTTTAAACAGATGCATTTGTGATTTCAAATAGCTGATAAGATAATTATACAGAGAAAAACACAGAGAAAATAGAATGTAAATAAAGGAAAGAATGAATAGTATTACAGAATGATCCATGAGAAAAACATGTATTGCTGTTCACCTAAACTTGATAGGAAGTTGCTACAAACACTATGTTATAATCTGAGAAATGTGTGACAACTGCCGTAAACACCCTAAAAATCCCACAGTGCAAATTATATCTTCTGAAGTACTTTAGATAGAATTTAATACTCTTTATAGTGCATAATGTTTTACTGTGTGACTTTGAGTAGGTACCCTTTGACAATGGTTAAATTTTCTTCTTAAAAGAATGAGACAGAGCTTCATCTTATGTTCTAAGCGCTGTCACTCATTAAAGGTATTGAATAAGTTAAATGATACAGAGCAGATTTATCATATAAAGTGATAATGGTACCTGTTACAGTGTTATACTGTTGCACAGCAGGGTTTGATTGTTTCATTACAATCGTATATTTTAACAAAAGCTTCATAACAAAAGATTTTCTTTGCAGAGCTTTTTGTAAAAACCAAATGCTATTATATGTCACCAATTTCACTGCTTTCACTTACCTTTCAAATCTGGAACAGAACAGATCCTTAATTGTTCTTCCGAAGTAGCAGTTTATAGTTGAAGTTGTTTTCCTGAAAGTATTTGTATTTTCTCACTGTGTTCACTGTACTATTTCAGCAGCTGAGTATAATTATACTTCTACAAACATTCATTTATATGTACTAAGTTACATGAGAACCACATAAATGTTTACGCTCTATAGTGTCCAGTCAACCGCTTACTCATTGCATGGCACGGACTGTATTTTCTACAGCTCCAAAAACTCTTGATCTTAGATCGAGGTTTAGGATAACAGTACCCTATATCTCCAATTGACTCATGACTCCCACATGTGCCTGTCAAAAATATGCTTTCACATTAAACTACAATAATGAGCTTATTTTATGTGTACTGAAATTGTTGGAAGAAAATTTCAAGCTTAGCTTGTGAGGATAAAGGTTTAGGTTAAGGACTATTAATTTCAGTTTTTGACCCACAATTAAGCAATTAGAGAGTTTGAAGTTGGGACAAATTACTGTAATCATACCATGGGGACCAGGTACAATATGTCTTGACCTTTATAAACATTTTACATTTTGACAGGTATTCATGAACTTTAAATCTGGACCCCCCCCCCATGACCTTTATGTACCATGTCATTTAAATTGGACTTTTGAAAAATGCATAAGTTTTATAATAAATATAATTCAATATAGATTTTCTAGATTTCCACAATGAATTCAAATGTCTACACAAACATGCAACAAAAATGCATTTATATACTTGATTCAAAGAACTAGATATATATAGATGGCTTTCCAATTAATCTTCAATTTAATAGGTTCTTTCATTAGAATACTCAATAAAGATTTAGTTACTGGTGAAACATATATTTAGGCATTTCTGATTGGTTTTATCTTCCAGATCTACAGGGTGGGCCAAAAAAATGTTCCACTTTTTCATTTTAATCTCATATTATAAAAGTGCTTAAAAGTCCTGATCAAAGGATATGAATCGTAAAAATCCAAACTACATATTCCAATAAGATTGTTCTCCCTCCCTGTCAAGCGATGATGGATTTCTTGCATGCTAATGCACCTGATATCATCCCCCAAATAGTTTTAATCTCAATGTAATAGACTGTATTGGTGTGGGTGAACTAGAAAAACGTATACACAGTGTTCTAATCCATTCTGTTCAAGAACATCAATGAAGACTAACTTTATGTAGGAAAAATTATCACAACAATCAATTTATGCGGCGATAAATAAATGGCATCATAGACTAAAACTGGTCATGCAGGAACAGGGAGGACATTTTGACATTTACTTTATAAACAAAACAGCCAAAGACACGGCAAATTTTTATAATTAACTTGTCAAGAAATGTCTCAGCTATATATATATTTTCTAAGGGATTGCATCAAAAATATAAAAATGAAAAATGTGGAACTTTTTTTTGGCCTACCCTGTATAAGACTAGTGACATTTTATTCTACATGGTACCCCCTCCAACCTGAAGTCACCTATAAAGGGTTGAAGATAGTTCATACCTCTGTCTATATTGGTTGTTATTCATTGTAAGTTTCACTTTGAATAGCTTCATCACTAAGAATTTTACTACCACTGACTTAGCTGCCACCTTTAGAAATCAATACTGCTCAAGTAAATTAAGTTCAACAATTCAGATCTTTTTGAAACAGGCCTTTGATTGTAATCCAGCTGATTATGACCTTGCTCAAAGCCTCAAATCGATTCTGATATGGTTACTTTCCTCTCAAATTCATGAAATCATATTTCACCCCCTCCCCCTCTCATATTTTACAGAGGTTGAACATCAAAATAATGTTGAGATCGATAATTTAGTACTTATGTTATCAATCAGCCAGGTAGCCATGCTTTTGCTAAGGTGGTTTCAGTTACTGAAAAATTCAAAGGGGTTCAAATTTTACTGATTCAGCTCAAAGTAGTGAAAAATTGCATGATTTTGAAATAACTCATGGTCAGCGATCTCAATCTCTCCCTCCACCCCCCCCCCCCTGGCAACAGGCCTATCCAGGGATCCTATGCAGAATGAATGCAAAAAGTAAGGGTTTTTGAACATTACCTTATGTGAAGTATAGTATATCATAATTGCATTTGCTCAGCTCTGAAATGGGTTTATCATCAGCAGTGGCGTAGGAACAATATACGCCAAAACGCCAATGCGTAGTGTTGAAAAGCTAGAATGAAATAGCTTAATAATTTCCTTATGTTCTTTAGTCATATTTCCTCATTGTTAATAAATTGTTTGTGATCTCGAGCACACTAAAGAAATGTTTTTGGAAACCATGTAATATGTTCGATTTTTTCAATAGTACTCTTTGCAAGGTTTTTGTTCCTCTGTTACTTTTTTCTAGCTTCGGCCACGATAAATGGCACTTTTTGGCGTAAAAATCAAGGTGATTTGGGGTAGAGGGTTATGATAGTTGGAAGTTTAAGCCAGTAAAAATGAAAGTACATTTCAACTTCAGTTCTAGGAAAGCAATTACCCTAATTTCTATTTTATTTGAAATATAATAGATTATTATTTTAGGAAATAAAGCATTTAGGCACCAATAATTATTTTGAAAGGAAAAAACAATTTACCACAAAATGTCACGTTGACTTTTGCATGGGCTTTATTTATCTTATAAAAAAAGTTGAAGACATTAGAGTTATGTTGTATCATTGATCACGGACATGTTTCTATTGATCATACTAGTTTCTTTAATCTGTATTGTTGAGATTTAAAAGATCGGCTTTCCATGGTGATTTTATATCATGAAAAACATTCGAACATTTTAAGCACAATTAGAAAGGTATTACCATAAAAATTACCTTTTACGAGCATAAAAGAGGCGTTTTGATTCGTTAAGATTTGACACAATTTTTTCATATTTTTGGCGTAGTGTTGAATTTACACCTTCCTACGCCCCTGATCAGAATCATTAGAATCAAAAGTCATTATGGAACTGAGAAACACAAACCGGGAACACAAAACAGTGAAAAATTGAAATTCATTTCTGATGGAATTGATTTTGAAAATTTACATCCTTTACCTCTCAGCTTGTGACAAAATAGTGCAAATCATATAAGTTACATTATTACATGTTTGTCCTGCTTCCTTATTTCTTCTAATATGTCAACGCAGTTGATATTCACCAGTCTGTGACCATTTTCGCTATTTTCAGTGAACCGCTTCAACTTTCTGAAGTCTCGTAGAATCCCACGTGACTTTGTGAGATTTGCACTAAAAGTACAATGCTGATTTTAGACCGTGAATATTTTACCGTCTCTGCTAATTAATAATATAATATACATCAGAATGTACAGTTGAAAGGCACTTGATTTAATTCAAAATTCCATGTAACTTATGCAATCGATAGGCTTGGACAGTCAATGTGTAATGTTTGAAAATATGTTTTTACAGTGCTCACCATGATAAATAAAGGTGTCATTTATTTATGGTGAGCACTTAATCGTTCATTTACTATTTGTCATGACTTAAAGGTTATTTTAGAGATCGATTTTTGAAAAAAAAAATTGAAAAAACAGTTGTCAGCTTTTCATTTCTCAAATATTCAAATTTCCCGCCATATTTCAAAAAAGTTGAAATTTTTAAATCATCAAATATTCCACCATACATTTCAAAAAATATTATATTTTTAACACCAATGCAAAGATTGAACAAAGGACACGCTATTTCAATAATAAAATGCCACTTCAGTGTTTTAGCATATCAAAAATAGTTTGCAACCTAAGTGATATCATTGATTTCTCACTCAGGTGGCAAAATTTTTTTTGAATGGAATGAATTTTTTTTCTATGTCAATCTTTTTTAACTATCGTCCCATTATTTCCACATTGTTACAATTGCATTTTAGCTGATATTGAGAAATCAAAGGTTGAAGTTTAGGTCTTCATAACTTTTGAGTAGTAATTTTTAAAAACTTGTTTTTTCTTATAATCATGTGTACATGTAGGCCTTGCAGAGCAAAAATCACTGATTAACAATAAATAAAACACATCTTTATCATGGTTTCTTGTTTTTGAAATATCAAAATAACCCTGAAAACTGTTATTGTCTCGTATACCATTATTGCATCTTTCTAATTATGTTAATTATGGGTAGTATATCATTTCTCATTGATTTTGAAAATAATAGGGTCTAGTTTTTAAACATCTGCGAATTATTGCAATTTATACCCCCCCCCCCCCTGGGTACTTTTATGAGGGGGTACTATGATAATCATCAATAATTTCAAATATTCAAATCACATTCATATTTCCAGGGATTATGTATCTATATATAATTAGTTGCTATGACAAGTTTGATCATGATTGGTCAAGTGGTTGCCATAACAACACAAATGAAAGAATTCCTGCAAGTAATAAGGGAAATATGGCTCGTTGCAGGGGTTCACTATTTTGGACCACCCTGTAAATATTTTGGATAAATCCACTAGATCTTTAAAAGGTAAATGACAAAGGTAAAAAGGGTATAACAGGTCAATAATTGATCAAGTTCACTGAATAAACTTTTTTGTTACAAATAATGTAAAATCTGCTTTCTTTTGTTTGTAATACATGTATGGTGTCATGATTTATGATCTCCTTTGTTAATTACCTGCAAAGTATACTAGTAAGTAATCTTCCCATTATTTCAACATTGTTACAACTATTAGTCTCATGATCAAAATTATGTATCTGATCGGCTCTGCTGCTCCCAAAAGGATATAACAAGGTGGGCCTAATTTTTTCCTCATTTTGCACTTATAACAATGTGGCATTGAATATCTCTAAAAGGAGATTAGATCCATCGAAATGGACCCCAGATATGAATTCCTCGTGAAAAATTGAGGAAGTATACTTACCTCAAAACCTGTAAAAAGTGAGTTATAACAATGTGGAAATAATGGGACGATATGCTAAACTTACACTCCCCTCCATAAGTTTGGCAACCTTTTTTCTCCAACAACAGGTGACTTGAAAAAAGAAAGATCAATGGGGGGTATCGTGATGCAACAACACCGTGTTGTTGCAATAAGATGGCCGGCCTTCCGGTGATAGATTTTCGCAAGATATTTTGTTTCCCCAATTTAAACCCATTTCTAGGACAGGTTTCTCGATAATCATACACGTGCAGTTAGCGCACGATTTATATTTTAAAATACTGTCATTGATATACATGTAGCATCATTCAGAAGCGATAAATTCACGGTTTTTGTTCCTCACTATTGATGCAACAACACCATTATGTTTATTATCAATGATGCAAAAACACCAATGTGCTGATGCAACAACGCCAAAGTCTTTATCAAACTTAAAAGGATATACGAGCCAAACGATATACATACACTCCCCTCCATAAGTTTGGCAACCTTTTTTCCCCATTGAACTACGTGTTAAAGCCTCTTTACGTTTGAATTTTTATTTACTTAACCGGCGATGAAATAACTTATAATATTGATGGAAACGTAACTTGACTTTATTTCCAATACCTCCAAATTTTCTAAATTTTTTTCCTCAATTACAATAGGTCGAAAATTGATGATAAATTTGATGAATTTTTGAAAATCGTCATTCCCATGTAATCCAATGGGAAATGGAGGGTTCGGGGCAAATCAGAAATCAGGATATCTTTTCAGTAAAAGATTCAGCAAAAAATATTTTCATATAGAAAATTGAATTATCTAACTTTTTTGAACACTAAGTATTTAGTTTATTTGACGAATATTAAAGTTACAGCGCTTCAAAGTCATTTTTGAAAATAATTTTTCGCCTCCTGTGTTATTTCAATGGGAGAGGTTTTTTGACAAACAATTTTGACTTTAAAGCCCTATAACTTTGTTGAACCTGAAGAAACATATCAATTTTTTGTTAAATAAAGTTAGCAAATTCAATTACCTGCCTAACTCGTATTTTTTGCAAGGACTCGGATGGATGGATATTCTGTCATATGACTTGCGGCAAACCTACCATTTCCCATTGGTTAACATGGGAATGTCGATTTTCAAAAATTCATCAAACCAGAACTCTGTTATTTTTATTCAAAAAATATCAAAAAATGCCAAAAAAATTGTCACTTCCTGTTTTGTCATTTCCTGTTAACTTCCATAGCACCTTAAAGCATAACTAGAAATCAGCAACTCCACGGAGTAGCAAATCAAAACGAAAACTATATTCATGAATCTGTGTATGTCAGATTTAAAAGACATACATTCCAGATATTTGGAAGTTTCAAAGGCAATAAATCATATAGACAATAACATGTACAATGCTGTACTGCAGTATCATGTAACCATACTTTGAAGAGATCTCTAAGTAAGTCCACCCGTGTAGCTCAGCGGTAGCGCAGGTACCTCTTACGCAATAGGTCCCGGATTTGATCCCCGGTTCAGGCAAGACTAAATTTGCTTGTTTACGTGAAGTACTTCAGGGTGTTTGACTGAGTGGTCCGCAACTCGTACAAAAGGCTGTGGTGTGTACTTGTATGTCTATGTATAAGTGCACATAAAAGAACACAGGGCTCCTTCAAGGAGGGGTTTCTGGGTCTATCTTCCATGTTAATTACGTAAATTACGACCGTATGTATACGGGACATACCCAAGAGGTATTGCTCACCTTCATTGGTGGTAAACAAAATACAATACAAAATAGAGAATTCCTGCTATTGGTAGCCATTTTGAATTGTCTCAGGCAGGAATCAGAAAGCAATACCATAATTGTGATATACATACTCTAAAATTCCTTCAATTTGAGTACAATACAGTATAGCCATACTTTAGAGATCAGAAAATATTGCGATATCCGAATTGCGGAAACTCATCTTGAAACATGGTGAAATAACCATTTTGAAGAAGCACTACCATAGGCCCCGGGAACATGTATAATTACGTAAATTACGTCGACATCTGTATTACTACGAAGTACTAAGAAGTAGTAATACAGATGTCGACTCGCTATTTTATACATGTTCCCGGGGCCTATGAGCACTACTTTGGCTAATGAAGTGAGATATTTTATATTTTATAAATTCAAAACAAGTTACAGCTTTCAAAACCCAGTACTTTGCCTGTAAAAAGTTACTTTATTGGAGTCTAACTTGTCCCAGTGAAGAATTGATGATTTTTATTTTTCATGATATGCAGGCATTTTCAAAACATGTAGTACTTTGCCTGCAAAACGTTACTTTATTTAATATTGAACTTTTTTCAATGAAAAGTTGATGATATTTAAGTTAGATGAATGCGAGTTTTCGCGGTACTTTATTAGACTTAACTTAATTCCATGAAAAGTTGACATATTTTAGGGTGGCATTTTCAAAACACAGTACTTCACTTGGCAAGTAAAATGTTACTTCATCAGACTTTAACTTTATTCCATGAAAAGTTGATGATGTTTTTATTTTGTAGCCATATTCAAAACAAAACTATGTCCATGACATTGTTATCCCATCCTTTCATGCAAGTTCAACGTTGTGCAGTTTTGTTTATAAGTCTCATAAGGTAAGACTGATTAGAAAATCTGTGAGTTCTACATGAATTGATCAAAATTCATGCTGCACATAATGGAGAACTGAGAGTGGAAATATAGTTTGTGTGTAACAGTTCAATCCATGATAAATCTAGATATTGTTCTGTGATAATCAGGATGCATATAGTCTTTCAGCTCATCTTTTGACAGCCACATGTGTTCCGATATTGTGTCTTTACCTGGCTTCACATCTCCAGTAACATGATGGGCTTTGAAGAAAAATACCTGAAAACAACATTGTATATACTAGTAATATCTTTTATTTAGTGTTTACTGTTTATAATATGCATATATATTGACAAATAAATTCATAACTGGATAGCTTCATTTGGATAAATTTTGAAGGTATCAAAGCAATTCTTTGGGATCAAGTGATTGATTTTACTATCTCTACTATCATCCATCTCAAAATAAAACTATTTTCTATCTGATTCAAATAGAGGATACACATTGCCTCAATATTATTTGCCAAATTGGATTCCTTTTTCAATTTTTATGTACCTAGCTTATTTTTCGTTCAAATGATGACTGTTAATATTGGCTCACTCCTGTCAAATTTGCCAATTTTACAAGGATTTATCCTTGCTAAATTTGCCCAATTAAATAGCTCCAACAGTTGACCAAAAGTCCTGAAATTATGTTACCAGAGAGATGATCTTAAATAATGTCAATTATGATTATTCCATTGCCATTCACAATTTAGACAAATACATGTCACTCATTAGGGCCACATTTCATGAAATTTCAAGAAATGGCCTGATGACCTTCACAAACCTTCACTCCATCATGATCTTGATTGAGATCCTTTGGTAAGTTATATTTGTATACACCTGATGGAGCATTCCCAATGAATCTTGCATTTATTTCGCTTCCACAGCTGCTTCCTAGACACCTCTCTGCTGACTGAAAGTGAATCAATAAAAGGATACTGTATACCCTTTTCAATAGTGATTTTGTTTCTAGTGTACTAGGCTCTGAGCAATTTTAGATATGACAAATTTTGTAAATTATTGTAAAATCTGGAATTAATTCATTTTGCTCTATGTTACATGTACCTGTCTCATAGTTTCTCCTTCTGTCCAGGGTATCTGGGGAAGAACCCAATGTTCCTTGTTGCCCAGTTTCTGCTTCACCACAAGTAGGAGCTTCTTGTCAAGGTCTCTCTCAACACTCTTTACGTCATTGCTATCCTCTGTCAACAAAATAAAATTCAAATACAGTAAAACATGTCTTATCCAAAAGCCATTCTCCTTAAAACTATGGATTTCCTCTTTTTGACATGTTTATTGATTAAAGGAATTTTGACATTGAACATTTTTGTTTGTTTTAAAGATTGGTTCAGCTCAATGTTACTGTTCATCTAGTTTTGTATTTCTTTACTTTTTTAAAATTGCCCCTTCAGGTTTTATGATTTTTGTAAACAATTACATCGTAAAAGTTTGAACCCTGTTTCCTATATCCATTGTATCATGCTATGTACCTCTTGTTGCAGGGTCGAATTCCTTCAGCTCCCTTTCCCACAGATCTTCAATGTCTTGTGCTGTCTGCACTACAGTCTCTCCAGTCTCAATACCATGTTCTTGCTCTTTAGCTTTCTTTGCAGCTAATGCCCTAAACAAATCAAATAATTATATAAAGCATTAAAGTGAAAGTGGGAAAATGTGCTTTGAGTGTTTTGTAATCATATTTATTTTGTGTTATTTGTTTTGCGTTATTTTTAATCACATTTGTTTGTGTTATTTGTAATCATATTTGTTTTATGTTATTTATTTATTTTGTGTCATTTGTAATCACATTTGTTTTGTGTTATTGTTCTCCCAGTTAATTTCGCGAGTTTTAATTTCGCGAATTTTGAGAAAACACAATTTTCCGGCTATTAAAGTTCGCGAATTCCACTAACTACACCTACTACTATGTCATCTTGGTCAGCGACACGCTGCACTTAACCTCTATTACATCGTATTTTTGGGTTTATTTGATCTAATAAGCCACTGTAACAGACATTGTTACCCATTGTATCCCATTTATCGTCTAAAAACACTTGACAAACATTTTACAAAACACGAAATGCAATGGAGTTCCAGGTAATAAAAAATATCACAAATCGCCAGGGATTTAATTGACAATTTCGCAAAGATTAGTTTTCGCGATTTTACCACAATATTCCTGTCCTTTAAAATAAAGAATGATTCAAAGCAAGTAAATTTTTAAGCCAAACGAAACAATTAACAAGATTAATCCGGAGGCCTGCCTATCAACTGCCTACCAGCCTTACAAATTGATGATAACAAAGCTAGTTTTTGACTATTTACATATAGTATTGTGGTATTTGAACTTTAACAGTAGCCAAGGGCTGATAGATTTGGACAGAAAACTCCAAAATAAATACTCACTGTTCCTTTTTATGCCTCACTTCAAACTCTGACAAGGAGCTGTATTCATACTCTAATGTTTCCTGGAGGTTTGCAAACTTTGCTTCAATTTCATTAAGCTTGGCTGATACAATGGGGAGTCTCTCGAGACACACTGCACTTACAAGCTGCCATTTAGGCTTTTCTGTTGCAGTTGTACTGTATAGTAGTGGACATGGTCTCTGAATAACTGGAAGCAAAGTATTTCAATGTTGTGAAAGGAATACAAGATGAAAAGTTCTGGGAGACAGCCCTTATTGCAGGAGATATTCTGGCACAATTGTGACTTTGTTATATCTTGTGCAAGAGTCTTGCGTAACCTTTGCCGGCTTACGGACAACTCATCCCCTAGACAACTCATCCCTGAGCAACTCATCCCCTGGACATCTCATCCCCTTGACAACTCATCCCCTGGGCATCTCATTCCCTAGACAACTCATCCCCTGGACAACTCATCCTTTATCACATAAAGCCAAATTGTAAAATGTATCTGGGAAAGAACACTTTGGATCATTCTAAATATTATTTTTCACTTTATTGACACAAATAAAACAGTCAAACAGTGCCATTAAAACTTTCATCTCTTGTACCTTATATGATACAACTTAATACTTCGTGACAAAAAATAAAGTTTTCTTTCTGCATAATTTTAAACATGAACTTCAGTAACTTCATCTGCAAATACTGTGAAAAAATAATCTTTGGATTAAAGAAAATTTGAACTATGACCAACAAACATTATAATGACATCAAAGGAGCTTCTTCAATCAGTGTTAACATTATATTAAAATTGTACATTAAAAGTAAAATGAAAGGTAAATTATTTACATAACAAATTACAGATTAATTGGTTGATTATCTCCTTGACAGTATCATAGTTTTTAAGCAATTTTCCAGATTTCCCCTCCAGCAAGTCTTTGTTCGCTTGTTCTACACTCAATTATGCTTTTTACTGAATCAGATCTCTTCGGTAACGTCCTTGAAGGTACGATACGGCAGTATCATATGTTTAATTGCGAACAAATAGTACAGAGGACAACAGAATTGTCGCTTTAATACCTCACTATTGTTATGTAAATGGAAAGATTTAGCATGCAGATTTTAACCATTTTTGAAGTTTCGTTTAAGTAACAAAAGTGAGGTATCAAATCGACGATCATGTTGTCTTCTGAACTATTTGTTCGCAAACATGTACATTTTCTTAAAAGTATGATACTGACACACGTTTGTGATAAAAAAGTTGTTGGAATTCTGCCTACAACTGGTTAAATAAGGTTAAATCAGTGTCATGTAACGTTTCTTCAAGCACTGATAATACAGTTATACAAATGTACTGTGGTTTTATTCAAATTCCAAATATAGTATACAGGTATGCTACAGCACTGTGCAGCAGTGCATGGTACAGTAGTTTTAAAGTTAGTTTTAAGATGACTATGGTCATGTCAGATCACAAACCGTTGCAATCGCATCCTTCATTTTGCCATAGTCACACCAGACTTTAGAATTGTCATGGTCCCACCAGACTTTAGCCGGTATTGTGTCACAACCACAAGTGGTGACATATTGTTTTAGTCTCCACCATTTAAGACAGCATTCAGTCTTCAGCGTTAGGCGACTGAAAATGTGTGAGTCCGAACGAAATGGGTTAGTTTTTTCGGCGTTCGTTTTTTTTATGTACATGTACCGGCACTCACTTTTTATCAGGTAAAATGTGTATTAGCATGAAATATTCTGTCACGCAAAAATAACTGCCGTGACTTCAAATTTTCCAGAAAATGCGTGACAAATACGCAATAATTGTGGGACAGTTGGACTGCCTGATACACCCAAATGGCCAAAGGGGCGCTATACTGCTAAAAACAACACCCCAAGTCTTTTTACCCAAACCATTTTTGAACACCATGTAGACCCCATGCACACCGCCCAGCACCTTTTTACCTAAACCCTGTGTGAATACCCCCATAATTGTGGTGACCACATCTGTGACATCAAGGACACATTGTAGGTGTGAAAATCAAGTTGAATAAAACCAGAGTACACTAGTTTAGGTGTACTAGCATAATGAAAAATAAATGTGATATTATGGCTCACTTACTTTTTAAACTTTCTCTCTTTATGGCTGAATATTGGCAATTTATTAAATATTTTGTAAACTTTTTCCTCAAGATGGGCGCTGACATCTTGAATCCAGAACGAGGCCGTGACGTCACGACATAGTAACAGTGAAGCTAAAATGGTAAGACACTTATACTAATATCTCAAAAATCAGTGTATCTATTCTTGATTTAACCTTACCATTAAATACATATCATATTGGTGTATCCTTGGGTCTTTTGTTTATGCCGATATGATTTTTAAATCTCTTAATATTTCAGATAAAGCACCGGTTTTTAGGTGGTGATTTCCAAGATGGCGGTCAAATTTTTCCAATTTCTAGTTTATTTGTTGTTTACTTATATCCTGAAGGAAATCACATCACAAGGGAAATTTTAGATATTCGTAAGTGGTATTAAACTAATATATAAAAAGACTAGAATATACCACTTTTCCTTAGACGTGAGAAGTGCTATCATCCATGACATGACAGAGTGACATCATCAGATTCACTGTTCCACAGCTGGATGACTATAAGTTTGAAGAACGTATTCACCCTATGCAGACAGAGCCTGTGGGAAATATTGGGTGCGGAGCAAATGAGCGGAGGGTGCGGAGCTAACGGTTATTTTTGAATATAAATTTGGGATATTTCTGAAACTAAGCCGTTTTGGGACTTCAAATATACCAAGATATGTGTATTTGACACCAAATATCAATACAATTGTGAAATTAGTAGCGCAATTCATTCTATAGCGACGCAGTGTGCCTTAAACCTTTCCCAGACCTATATATTTTGAAATTATCCTTTTAATACTGAGTCCCCAGCATTCATAAAAAATGGTGTTCAAGGTGCACTATCTATACAAATTATTTTTGCATCTTGGAAGCCAGGCAGTATCTGTGTGATTTTATAAAAATTCGGAAATTTTTTCAGATATGAGCCCCCTCTAAATATTGGGTGCGGAGCAGCTCCATTAACGTAGCTCCGCACCCAATATTTAGAGGGGCTCATATCTGAAGAACATTTCCGAATTTTTATAAAATCACCCAGATACTGCCTGGCTTCCAAGATGCAAAAATAATTTGTATAGATAGTGCACCTTGAACACCATTTTTTATGAATGCTGGGGACTCAGTATTAAAAGGATAGTCTCAAAATATATAGGTCTGGGAAATGTTTAAGGCATACTGCGTCGCTATAAAATGAATTGCACTACTATTTTCACAATTTTATTGATATTTGGTGTCAAATACACATATCTTGGTATATTTGAAGTCCCAAAACGGCTTAGTTTCAGAAATATCCCAATTTTAAATTCAAAAATGACCGTTAGCTCCGCACCCTCCGCTCATTTGCGCCGCACCCAATATTTCCCACAGGCTCTGTCTGCATAGGGTGGTATTAGACGTCCATGGTTAGCTTCATTCAAGATGGTTCCCGAAATACTTTCGTTTCCGATAAACCTAGATTCCAAGTTTCGCCATGCAAATTGATAGTCTAAAGCTGCGATGGTAAATAACCACAAATAAATGCTCAAACAACTGTGTTATTGGTAAATTTCAAAGAAAATGGCTTCACTTAGAATGACCCTAACTGATGTTGATGATGACGTAGTTAGAGTCATTCTAAGTGAAGCCAGTTTTCTTTAAAATTCTCTGATATTGCGGGTGTTTTTTGGGCATTCATTTGTGGTTGAATACAATCATTATTTTATTAATTTGCATGGCGAAACTTTTCGAATCAAGATTCAACTTAGTTTAGCTGAAATCGGAGGTTTATCAAAAACGAAAGAATTTCGGCAACCATCTTGAATGAAGCTAACTGCAGTTACAGTCATCCAGCTGTGGAACAGTGAGATTCAGGCAAAGGTTCACATTCTCTCTCAGTTATGTCAGACAATCCAAATCTGGAATGAATGAGGCTTACTCGAGTCTCTCTCCAATTACTTGGCCCGAAGTCTTGGCATATAACCAGTGCAGTAATGAAAAAGTTTGTTCTGTGGCCTTGAATTGGTGGTACAATCCGAGAATTTATCCAGATAAATTTTATCTTTAAGAATGAATTTTAGATTATTGATCTGGATATATATTTCATGGTGAATCGGTACAATCCTAGAGTATTTATCCCAAGATTTATCCAAATGACTGAATTATGTGTTGTTAATTAACACTGGAATCCGGATAAATTTTGTTATGGTTTTTGTATTGTATCTTGTTTACCAACAATTAAGGTGAGCAATACCTCTTGGGTATATCCCATATGTATATATGGTCATAATTAATGCATGTAATCCCCGGGATGTAATCATGAAAGGCAGACCCAAGAACCCCTCCTTGGAGGAGCCTTGTGTTATTTTATGTGCATGCATAGATAGTCATACAAGTACACGCCACAACATTTTAACCAGTTGTGGACCACTCAGTTAAACACCCTAAAGTACTTTACGCAAACAAGCAAATTAAGTGTTGCCTGAACCGGGGATCAAATCTGACACCTATTGCGCAAGAGGTACATGCTGTACCGTTAAGCTATATGAGTGGATGCATGGTGGTTATACGTGGTTATGATGCATTGTGGGATTAATCTTGAAATTTATCCTGGCAATATTGGTGAATTCATTGTCTTTTAGATAAATTTTTTCCGAATTCCAATGTAATTTCAGTGGTCTCCCCAGGATTTTTTCTCAAGTGGGTGCAAAATTCTCATTTTCACGATTCAGACCGAAATTGGTCAAAATATGCCTATTTTTCATGATTTTCAAGTGGGTGCAAATGGATTTTCAGGTAGGTGCAAGCCTGTTTTCAAAATCTCAGGTGGGTGCTGCGCCCACTTGCTTTAATGCTGGGGAGATCACTGAATTTGATAATACCAATTCATGGCCTCTGAGGACCTGCCCAAATCACTGCTCGCTTGGCCCGCATCTTTCGCCTTTAAATTTTCAGGAAATTTGAAATTTGTTGCTTTTAGCAATGTCTACCTCTCTACTAAATCTGTCCATGACTCCAAGTAACTTATAAGTTATAGGACACTTTGTACAAGGATGCAGAGGTTTCACTAGAATTTCTCACAATATGCTTAATAAATGAAAACAATAGGCAAAATTAAAACATGTAATAGTTGAAAAGTCCCTAAAAACAACGGGCAATTTTGTGAAATTAATCTGTGAAAATCGCTTGTTGCCTGCTGCTAATGAAACCCCTGAGGATACTTTTTAGGCTGTACCAGCATTTTTTGCATACTTTTAGGAAAACTGCGTTTCAATTAATCTTTTACTGATTTCAGGGTTTACTGGATCTTCTACGTAAACTACGATCTAGTCCTGATCAGGAACTTCGAATCTTACTACTAGGTCTTGATAATGCTGGCAAAACAACTATATTAAAGTCATTAGCTTCTGAAGATATCAGTCACATAACACCCACACAGGTATGAGTAGATTCTAATATTGACCATGTATTTTTGAAAAGTGGTATATTTTTGCCGTCTGCTGATGGACCAGTGGGCAGCTGCCACATAACCACATAAATCTTGCCATCAAAATTCCAGAATTGCTAATCTATTCAACTACACAAAAGATACAAGAGCATACAAGTGCCAAGATCTGATTAGGTTTTATGCATGCTAGTAAACTACATATTTCAAGCCTCTTGATTCATGTGATCTCCAAAATGGTTGGTTAACATTTTTGTAACTAACTAAATAAAGACCACTATTTCATTCTGTCATCTTGAGATATACAAGTAAGATCAGAGTTCAAGCAAAACTAAAGCGAAATAGAAATATTCATTTTACATTCAATAATTTTTTCTGTGTTTTCAGGGTTTCAACATAAAAAGTGTGCAATCACAGGGTTTCAAGTTGAATGTGTGGGATATAGGCGGCCAGAGAAAAATTAGACCATACTGGAAAAACTATTTTGAAAATACAGATGTTTTAGTAAGTACCATTTGATTTTATATTTTCAAATGTGTGAAAGAATAATAATTATGAAATAAATGAAAATAAATTATTTGAAGAAGACATCTCACAAGGCACTTAACACCATCTTGATTTGAACATACAATAAAACAGTTAAACCAGAAAACCTTTACATCAGAAAGTCACTCTAATCTAAATACCACAGTGAACACATTTACTGAAATTTGAACACCTGCCAAGATGAACACTTTTGGCCAATCTCAGAGGTGTTTGGATGAGACAGGTTTTACTGTATATTTAATATTTTCCAGATTTATGTTATTGACAGTGCAGATAAAAAGAGGTTAGGAGAGTCTGGTGAGGTGAGTGTTGCTTTCTATGTTAACAATCTGGAACAGAGAAATCATGAAATTGTTCCAACATTGATTAGGCTATCTGATTCTTATTAGTTTACATTTAATATTGATCTATTGATATTCATTATACATTAAGCAAATATATATCTTGTAAATAGTCTGACACTGCATAGGAACTGTTTCTAAGTACTTATTCGTAGTAATCTTCATAAATAAATATTTGAATAATAACATGCATTCTCAACACATACATAGTCAAACTCCGTGGTATTGCTAGTCTTCAACATATCTTTGGCGGGCAGATCTTTTATTGTAAGCATGTCAGTGCGGTGAAACATTATCAACAAATCTTTTAACTCTAAATCCTGCCGCAGATAATTTTTCTTATATTTCATGATTTTCGATATGGGAATGTAAAAGAATATATATAAGTTATGTGAAAATTGACTACATCTATGATGAAAAGGGGGCTATTTTTCTCCAAATTTTGGTGATTTTTATGTCACCACCAAAAGTGGTGACATATTGTTATGGTCTCCGTTTTTTTGCGACGGCGGTTGGTGGTTGGCGTCCGGCGGTTGGTGGTTGGCGTCCGGCGGTTGGCGTCCGGCATCTGTAACAATTTCTTACAACTTCCTATAACATAACAAATACTGTTTAGATTGACTTCAATTTTTTTCTAAATCATCTACATGTTCTCAGAAGTTCAAATCTGACTTAAGATTTCACATTTGACCTTCAATGACCTTCTCAAGGTCAAAAAGGTCTTTTTTCAACTTGCTTCACATTGACTAAATTTTTTTTCAAAATCATCTACATGTTCTCAGAAATTCAAATCTGACTTTAGATTTGACTTTAGATTTGACATTTGACCTTCAAATCTGACTTTAGATTTGACATTTGACCTTCAATGACCTTCTCAAGGTCAAAAAGGTCTGTTCTCAACTTGCTTCAAATTGACTAAATTTCTTTTTCAAAATCATCTACGTGTTCTCAGAAATTCAAATCTGACTTAAGATTTGACTTAAGATTTGACATTTGACCTTCAATGACCTTCTCAAGGTCAAAAAAGGTCAAAAAGGTCTGTTTTCAACTTGCTTCAAATTGACTAAAAAATTTTTTCAAAATCATCTACGTGTTCTCAGAAATTCAAATCTGACTTTAGATTTGACTCAAGATTTGACATTTGACCTTCAATGACCTTCTCAAAGTCAAAAAAGGTCAAAAAGGTATTTTTTCGACTTGCTTCAAATTGACTAAATTTTTTTTTCAAAATCATCTACATGTTATCAGAAATTCAAATCTGACTTTAGATTTGACATTTGACCTTCAATGACCTTCTCAATGTCAAAAAAGGTCAAAAAGGTATTTTTTCATCTTGCTTCAAATTGACTAAATTTTTTTTTCAAAATCATCGACATGTTCTCAGAAATTCAAATATGACTTAAGATTTGACTTCAGATTTGACATTTGACCTTCAATGACCTTCTCAAGGTCAAAAAAGGTCAAAAAGGTCTTTTTTCAACTTGCTTCAAATTGACTAATTTTTTTTTTCAAAATCATCTACATGTTCTCAGAAATTCAAATCTGACTTTAGATTTGACATTTCACCTTTAATGACCTTCTCAAGGTCAAAAAAGGTCAAAAAGGTCTGTCTGTTTTGCTTCAAATTGACCAATTTTTTTTTTCAAAATCATCTACATCTTTTCAGAAGTTCAAATTTGACTTTACAAGTTCTCAGAAGTTCAAATCTGACTTTAGATTTGACCCTTGACCTTCAAGGTCAAAAAGGTCTTTTTTCAACTTGCTTCAAATTTACTTAATTTTTTTTCAAAATCATCTACATGTTCTCAGAAGTTCAAATCTGACTTTAGATTTGACATTTGACCTTCAATGACCTTTTTAAGGTCAAAAAGGTCTTTTTTCAACTTGCTTCAAATTTACTTAATTTTTTTTTTCAAAATCATCTACATGTTCTCAGAAGTTCAAATCTGACTTTACATTTGACATTTGACCTTCAATGACCTTCCCAATGTCAAAAAAAGTCAAAGAGGTATTTTTTCAACTTGCTTTAAATTGACCAAATTGTTTTAGGTGGTGACATTTTGTCATGTTAATGCCTTGTTTCATCTGCCCGCCATAGTGTATTTTCCGAGACACTGCATGGGAGTTTGATACATAGTCTTATACAGCTTTGTATCTATAAAAAGGAGGAAATTACCCAGTTTTCAAATGGTTCGTCTAACAAGAAGATAGGTTCATCTTTGAATTCTGAGTTATTCCATCCCTCTTCCTAGTCTACAGTGTATGGCATATTTATCACTATAAAAGAAGATTATTTTTGGTAGAAAGATCGCTTAATTCAAAGTATGGATAAAATATACCGAAAATCAAGATGCATGCACTTGAAAGTCTTAAATTCATTATATTTGTGAAAATACCGATCTAGTGTCATTTGTTGCGACTTAACAGATGTCAATGTTGTCTTCGATTTCATTTAGAGATAATGTCAATGTCAAACACACATTCATTATACAAAAGTCTTGTACTGTATGTGAATTTTAAATTTCAGGAACTAGAAGAACTTTTAGAAGAAGAAAAATTAGCAGGTGTACCAGTTTTAATATTTGCTAACAAACAAGATCTTATAAATGCACTACCTGCATCTGAAATTGCTGATGAGATGAAACTTACGCAGATAAAGGACAGGAAGTGGCAGATTCAACCATGTTCTGCTATTAGTAGTAAACCAGAGGAGAGTGGTGTTCCAGTAAGTATGAATACACTCCCCTCAAAAAGTTTGGCAACTAGTCCAATTTTGAGTCATTTATCAAAGTCTGTTTATGCTATGTTTTAAAAGAAAATCATCTAATTGTTTATGCTATTAAGGAAGAAAATTAAGATTTGGATATTGACGAGCTTTGATATACTATCAAATGTAGATGTCTAGTTGGCAAACTTATGGAGGGGAGTGTACTCCTGTCCTTTAACCATTTTATTATCCCAACGAACGAAGTTCAGTAGGGATATAGTGAAGCCCTACGTCTGTCCGTCAGTCTGTCCGGAAGATAACTCGAATACAGATTTTCTTCATATTTGGTGGAAAGATGTATATTGGTGAATAGTTTAACGCAAAAAAATTTTTCAATGGCCGCCGGTTTAAAAATGGCGGTAATTTTTGGCAAAGGTCTTATGTTTTTCATTTAAAACAAAAATAATGAATATTATTATTGGAAATTTTGGAAGTATATTCACAAGATCTCTCTTTTTCACATATACTCCATGCTTCTCACCCTGACCCCCAGGTGCCGTGAATGGGGGGTTTTAAAAACAGGAATTTGCATAAATTTTGAGATGTTTTTGAAGTATAGCTTAATTATACTTAAATGAAAGGCATTTTAGAGTAGATTGCAAATATTGTATCGTTTTTCTGATTCGGGCCTCATAAAATTCAAAATGGCCGTCCAATGAGGGGTTTCGCAATTATTTTTTGATCTCTTAAAGTGTGGCTATATTATACTCAACTTGAAGGAATTTCGGAGTAGATCACAATTATGATATTGTTTTTCTGATTTGTGACTCAGAAAATTCAAAATGGTTGCCTAGAGCAGGAATTCGCCATTACTTAGAGTTATTTTGAAAGTATGGTAAAATGACACTACAATGATCTCAAATATTTATTGAAGGGAAAAGTAGATGGTAAATATTACATTGTGACTGTACAGATTCATGATTTATATAGTATTTGTTGGAATTTGTGGAGTTGCCGTTTTCTAGTTTTGTTTCTGTCTTAGGGCTATGCCAAAAAAAACATGGGAGAGGATAGACCTGGCCATTTCCAAATGTGTTGAGTGTATGGGGGGGGGTATACATTGTAATATGAAAATAGATAGCAAAATATTGAAACAATTGTGTGAAGTTTGATATATATAGTAAAATGAGTTCAATTTCTTTCAATCTAGATTATATAGACATCTGATGTTAATGTAGCAAAGCATACCATTTTGATTCTTATGTTCATCAATTTATAATAAAGTCAATTTTTTTCCAGGAGGGATTCCAATGGATGGCAAAAAATATTCCAAAAGGAAAGAAAGGAAAGTAGAACTTTGTTTTAATCTATATGGGAAAAATGAATGAAATGGAATCCGCTGATCTAAAGATAGTGCTACAAAAGACAGCTGGTAAAAGACTGGAGATATAGAAAAACACGAGTAGCTCACACTGATCTCTCCTGGAATATTTTGGCTATGTAATGACATTTTTTTAAACTGACATGAGCAGCATATATTAGAATTGAAAGCAGTTCCATTCCTAATTGGTGTATATATTCCATATTTTGATGCGTGGTGTAAACTGAATCTAGCTATACATATCTAAATATGAAATGTATTTGCTCAATCTAACATTATATTGGCATTGCCCTATTTTTGTAATGGGGGAGCAAAGTCACTATGGGCAATTAGCTAGATATAACACTCGAAGCTGGACAAGAATACAGATTCTTAATATTATGTGTTGTATATTGTACACACAATTGAAAAGTGAAACTAATGAGATGGATCTTTATATCATTACCACCATCTATAGTTCACTCTTGACTGCTTATATTAGTAGGAAGCCTGAAATACCAGATTTATCTTGATGTGGTACATCTTATATTTTGACTTGCTTAAACCATTTTAATGTTCCATTCTGTCACATCCCATATTTATCAAAATGCAGCTAGTCTTATAAGAAAAGTGTGGAATTTCAAAATGGATCCACATGCTATGAGTCTATATTTGTTTACTATTTACTGTTTCATCTGTCAATTCATTCTATGTTGTATTAAATATAGTAAAACAGCCATATTTTGGAAATTCCTTTAAAGATCTGTTTGATCGAGGTCTAGAAGTCAAGTTATAACTTATTTTGTTGACTTAACTTTTAGACTATTTGTATTGTGTACTCTTGTTTGTTTCTGCCATTACATTTTGATTAGAGCCTTTGATACTCAGATCATGTCCATTTCCCAATAGGAATATCCCCTGTCTTTAGAAGATCCTAAATGGCCACTCAAACTTTTAATTTTTGTAATCTTCATTGAACACATGACACATATTTTAGGCCAATCATTGCCAGTCATTATCATTTGGATATTGTGGCCCTTAGGCCAATCAGTACCAGTCTTTACCATTTTTTATATTGTGGCCCTTTAGATGTCAGTAGTTACAGAATATCCATACAAGAAGTAGAATTTAATTCAATTTTGAGCATACCAGATATTTTATGTTTGACCTTTGGATGAATATTTTGCCATGATCAGTTTCTTGATATTCATTGGGGAGTGAGTATTACATCTGGACCTGCCTATTGAAGCTCAATGTTTTGTGTGATAGAAGTAGATGCTAAATTTAATTATAGTAAATGTATTGCCTTTATATTAATCCCAAAGATACTTTGTGACCATAAGTGAGTGCTGAAATTGCCTTACTTGAAATTAATTCTGTTATGTCATTTCGTAGCATTTCAACCTTTAAAGATGAGTGAACTACACAGCTTGCAGTGTGTAGGCACCTAGAATACTGAAACAACATATTCAGATATTAAAAAAGTCTTAGCGAGATATGACTGTTCATATCATTCCATGGACATTGACTGTATATGTTAGCTGTATACATTTCATGCCTTTGGTATTTTAATGTTCATGACACTATTTTGAAAGAGTTATAATCAGTCGTAAACCTGCCGTCCACTTAGTGTTTATCTAGGTCATTTTGTGTGTTTAACACGCATCTCTCTTATGTTATTTATCGTATATTCATCTTAGACAATCACATGGTGTCCCATGTTGATTGAGTGATGTACTAAGAGGTGTTTTACTATGTAAATGTTCTAATTTGAAAATAATTATTATGTATCTCATTTTTCTTCAATACCTCCAAATTATTTACTCCAAAATTTGGGTTCATCTGAATTAGGGGTATATTAAGTTAAACAAAAATAATTGTGCCATTTACTTGTAAATTACACTCCCCTCCATAAATATGTATTCATAAGTGTAAAAGGGAAACGATCACAAGATAGGCAACTATAAGTCCACTATTGGATTACTTATCAAAGACTGTTTATGCTTGGCAATTTAAAAAATGTCATATTTGTCATACATTTCTAAAATAAACTATTGCAATAAAGGAAAGAATGAATCAAACATTGACAGGCTTTTATATGCTAGAATATTAAAACTTCCAGTTGCCAAACTTATGGAGGGGAGTGTATATTTTATTTGTTTTGATTGGCATAACTATTGGACTTTCCCTTTGCTAAACATCCTCAGCCTCTTCCTTGTTTATAGTGTTTGTATAATGCAGTATATACGTTCAGTACAGTATATTGGTTCAATCTTTAAGGTAGAGCTAGTGGAAGAACTTTTGGGCTCTGTTTGCATGAGGTCCAAGTTAATTACCCAGCTCATTTATTCTAGTTGTCTTACCTTAATTGTGAAAACATGTGAAAAGATGTTCTATTGTGAATTTTGGAAGTGGGAGTCATCCAACATGGCTATCTTCATCTTTGTTGTATGCATTTATAATTTAACTTGAATTCATGATTATTGTAAAATATAACAAGTTTAATGTACATGTAGATATAATTTTTCAAGTAAATATAATGATATGATTATATATATAATAATAAATTATGAGATGTGTTTTCCTTTTATTATTTCATCACCGAATAGTGGGGACATAGTAGTTATCCTATATGAGGTTCAGGATTTTGAGGTTATTCTATGGCCAATACAATTCTGACTGTAGATACACTTAACTTGAGGCTAATTGATTTGGCAGAAATGATGTTTTAAATATTGGCGGCTATTTAATTTGGTGGACTCAGGATTGAAGTTTAATTTGTCTGATTTTACCAGTTTTTTATGTCTGCTGAAGCACACTTTTGAATGCCTTTTTGTCTATATTAGTGTCACTATGGCATGTATTTACCAAGATATTGTCAAGAGTTCTCTCGAAATAACAGAGTTGATATTTTGGCTGGGAGTTTAATTCCAGAAATTCCCGAGACAGCTTATCGTATTGACCCAAAGATGATATATCATGGACAGACTATAGGATGGATGATCTTAATTAATTTTAATTTCAGGAGCCTCCTCAAGATTTTCAGATGATTTGAATTCTGATCTTCTTAAAAATTCAATATTCTCACAGAAATCCACTGATTGGCAGATTAGTACCTGTCATATTGAACTTTTGACGTACATTCTAGCTGAAGCACTCAACTGTTTGCATGAGACCAACCAATGTGGGATGGTTATTTAGAAGATTTGAGTATTGTAAACAGAGGATAGGATTATAAAATAGTACTTTGCCCTAGGAGTAGGGCCTTTTGAAATTCATATTGATCCAAGGTTTAGGGAATTTGGCTCATTAGATTGGTCCAAGGTTGGAAATTTTACAGACCAATTTTTATTCTGTCAAAATCACCTCCCCTTCCCAACTGTGGATCTCAAAATCTTGGTGGTGCATTACAAATCAACAGAAATTATAATAGTTGGTCTTAATATAATTTATTACACAATATAAATAACATTCCATATTGTCATGATAATTGCACAAGTTTTCTCAAGTTACTACAACAATGTGTTGAAAAGAAATAGTATTTTGTAAAGTGTGGTTTTATCAAAGTATGTTTCTCAAAGTAATATTATACAAGACATGTGCTATATACTAGGCTACCAGTACAATTTCATTAAATCTAGTAACAATATTTTAATAACAACAATCTCATAACAAGTGGTAAACACATATGTAGACAAAATGTGACCAGCAGTCCAGACTGTATATAGAAGAGATATGTTTCAATAATATATGAAGATAAAACTTTATGTAAAAAATCCAACAAACAGTGGTTGTATCAAATAGACAATTAACATTTTAACATGTACTGAGTGCAGATAACCAAATATTTATCTTGAGGATGGCTCAAAATGTCAGTGTGTGTAATTTAAAATGGCACCAAAGTTTATGTTGTGTAAAATGTTGGAAGCCATTAATAGACATGACAAGACCCCATTTCATATATGAGATATTGATCAAATATGAAAAATATAATATTTAAGATGCAGATATGTCCAAATTCTTCAATTTTTTCCTTAAGAATTTCATAAAAATCCAAAACACTTGTACGTTTTTCAAAACAGGCTACTAAGATAAGATGCTGAAACTATTGTAGAACAAATGATTTTTCAAAAATTTACTCGCAGCTAGTAACACATTGCTGGAAACCACCCCTCCCCATGTACATGTATCTCACATAAATGACACACAGATATATTTGACCCTGGTCCTTGAGAAAAGTTTAACTGTTATAGATTTCTGATGATCATATTTGTAAGGTCACTGTTTGTAGAATATCCTCCCATGTCTGGTGTCCTCACCTGAAAACAAATTAATATAATGTAATATAATGTGAATCTCAATTCTTCCAACAACTAGTTACACATATGTTAAAATGTTATTGTGAAAGTTTATCACTTTAACCATTGCAAAGATAAAATACAGGTTAATGTTTACACCACTTATATCACAACTGGTGGTAGACTAATGTACTTAAACCAGAAATTCAGTTTTTCTAAGGATTTTTAGGAGAATGTTTTTTAGGGTCAGTTTATTTTATAATACTAGTAGCAGTTACATTTAAAACATTGAATGTTGTGTGTGTACAGTAAAACTTGGTTCCATTAGTGGGACAATTAGCCAGCAACTTAATGTAAATGAACCTCTGTAAGTAGAAAACCTCCAAATGTTGAGATACCTGGTTCATTTCACTACACAGTTTTTACTGTACTTCATATATAAGAAACAAGGATTTAATTACAAAATTGCACCACCTGCCATTTGTTTAAGACGCCAAACACCAACATCAGTCCACAAAAAAGTTGGAGACTGGTATTGACATAGAAATCATTTTTTTGTTTTTCTTACCTTCCCTGACTTGATTGTTTTCCCTACTGCCTCTTCAACCACTTTGGCATAAAAGCTGAGATTCATGTGACGGAGCATGTTGGCAGCGCACATGAGGATTCCAGTAGGGTTAGCTATATTCTTACCCAGACCCTCAGCAAAGGGATGTCTAGCACCCTGGAAACAAGAGATATATACAGGGGTTCAATTGCAGCTCGTATAGAGCCATTTTCTCTGATTTAAATTTCTGTTTTAAAGAGAATTTTGCTGGTGTGACTTTCAACCATACTTATGTATAAAATTATAATTTTCATTAATGTGAATGTTTTTTTAGAGAGAAGTTGAGTTGGCATGGTTTATGTACAAATCCAGACTGCTAAAGTGTTTATATTGCTTTACTCACAGGTTCAAATATGGCAACGTTATTTGAGTAACTCTCGCCAGGGGTGACGCCTGCACCACCTATTAGTCCTGCAGCGAGATTATCAACTATGTTTCCATAAAGATTTGGCATCACCATGACATCAAACTGGTGAGGGTTCGACACAAGCTGAAATAAAGTTAACAGATTTTATTTAGGATGTTTTCATTTGTTTAGTGGCATCAAGATACAGTAAAACCTGCCAGATGGAACGCCTTTCTGTAATGAACACCTCTATGGAACATTTTTCAAAAGTGCAAAGTCCCAATGACTATTAACATGTTAATGTATCCTCACTGTATGGAACAGAACACCTGTCTACAAAGAACAATATTGGTCAGTAGGAAGAGTGTTCCATATACACAGGTTTTACTGGATATCAATCGATGCATCCTCCGATCACAGGGCTTCAAAATCCAGAATATATTCTTACTTTTTACCCCCTGAGATAAGCAGTTAGCATTTCCCCGATTAAGAAGTCGCAATCTGACTGGCTGTCGCAACACTGCAACAGAAATAATGTATAAGTCATTGCGCATAATTAGATCACGTGATTCAGTTTAAAGGGTTCCGATTAGCATCCCGTATAAAAACAATATGGCGGCTCCAGGCGAATCAACTGGATCAGTCCATTTTTAAGAAATAAGGGGAGTTCTGTAAAATCCAGTTTATTGAAATTGTCTTTGAGATAAAGTAATCCGTTTATAATGATTTTGAAAACGTTATCCAAAGAGTGATTGCGTTCAAAGAATACATGTACAAAAGCCAATATAAATCCTTGTATTAGAAACCGGTTTGTCTTGCTTTGTTTCATTTGTAGGATATTTCATATGCCAAGCTGTGTGCTATTACGTTATGGGGAAATTTAGATGCCAATTTTTCCTTATTATTCACAAATAGAAGATCCCGAAACTTCACCCATAAATGTGGAATTGATTTGTCAAAATGAAAATCACCCTTTTATAAATGTGTGACGATCTATAATATACTTATGCTATATAACAGTTAGAGGTGTTGACACAACGACCTCGAACCTGTGAACCCTTGAGTATTATTCCGGGATCGGGCCTTTTATACTAAACGGTGAGCAACACCAGAAACGAGCGTTCGATTTGCTAAACGATATGCATCACCCTTTAATCAGGCGCTTCCAAATTGGTTATAGCAGGGGGTACAGATTCTGGATCTTGGAGGATGCAATCGATGAAGATTGCCATTTTCATTTTTGTCACTCTTGCTCCATGACAATATCACTACTTATTGATCATTTCACTGAGTTAAATGAAATGAAGAAAAATACTGACAAATTATTTTCATTTTACAGCTATGTATTGTCAGGCAAATCAATGTAATACAGTTTAGACAAGCAGTTTCAACAGAAATCACTTTTAAGTTAGGAAAAGGAGAACTGATAAATATGTTTAGAATTAGTCAAGCTACAAAGCCCCTGTGAACCCCCCCCACACTACTTCACTGCACAGGTATGGAAACTTCTCACACAGTGGGGGCACAAAGGCATAGCTAGACTAATTAAGAATAAACCAACCTGAAAAACATGTAACAGGCATCCACAATGTGATTTGTTTTCTTACCTGCATACAGCAGTTGTCTATGATCATAGTTTCCAGTTTGATCTTTGGGTAAAGCTTGGCAACATCACGACAGCACTCCAGAAATAAACCATCGGCAAGTTTCCTAGAAAAATATATGCAAGTATTATCCTTTCATATGTTTCATAGGTAGTACCATCAGATCAGAAGGATTGCAATCAAGTGAAGGTCAACAGCCTCTGTCTAAATTTTTTCCTCTGATTTTGTACAATTTTTCAATTTCAAGTGAATTTTTGGTTAGGTTTAATGAAAACTAACAGTTGGTAACAAGTAATAAAGAGTCAATTTTAACTCTATACAAAGTACTTGCAACTTTTGCATGGAAAATATTTAAAGAGTTTTAAAAGCATTTAATTAACACTGAGCCAAGAAGTAATGTTCAATCACTCAAAACAGATATATATAGTATAGTTCTCACATGATGTTTGCCTTATGCACTGCAGTTACTGTTTTTCTGTTGTGTTTTGTAGCATAGTCAAAAGCGAATTTGGCAATTCTCATTGAATTTTTTCTTGTAATAATTTTCAAGCTCTCCACTACTCCAGGAACACTCTGAAAATATGGTCATTTAAAATATTATATTTTTTACATAAAATATTCAAAAACTGATTTGAGTCTATCCAGTTTTGCCTTTCAATATTAGTTCTCCAATTTTTCCAGTTTAGTTAACAAATCTTTTTTACTCATACTCGCAAGCAAAATTTTCTATTTCCAATACTGTGGGTCTTCTATATGATAGGTACATGATAATATAAGTACATACCTACTAGTACATGAGAATGTAAGTACATGTACATGATAGTATAATTACATACACATGATACATGTAGTTATATGATAAGTTTTAAACAAGGCAATAACATAACAAAATCCCACCACCTTGTAAGTTATTGCAAATTGTTACAGAAGCCAAACTCTGAACAATGACCACCGTTCACAAAAAGGTTGGAGGCTATAAAAATATGTCACCACTTCTAGTAGTGACAATAGCAACTGCACAAACCAACCTCATGCTCCAATGCGCTGTATTCTCCCTCAGTCTGTTCACGTATTATGACAAAATCCAGGTTGTTATGGCGTGTTTTATAACCTGGCAGACTCTTAATGAGGACCACATTGGCGTATAAGTCAAGGTGATTCCTGAAAAGGCAACTTTAGCATAGAATTCGAGAAGTATTTTGATTCGGGAGAGATAGATAAGAGAAGTTTGACAGGCTTAACTTTACAATGATAAGTGGAGTAAAGTATTCTTTATATTGAAGTTCAAAAATTATCTCTTGAAATAAAAACAAAAAGATGTACATATCAGATCTTAATATTTCTCAAAAACAAGGCAAAAGTACGAGCCAGGGCCAATCATCTACAAATTGGTTCAGAGAAAACAGTATACAGATGGATGGGCAAAAGACTATAAAAAATCGCGAAACGTTTATGAATAACTATGACATGGCCTGCATCGTTTTTTCAGTCATCTCTCATGTAGAATAAGAAATTGCATTTCAACATTTTTATATTTAAACATTCAGATGTGGTAGTTCTTTACCACTATAATTTGGAGATGAATGAAATGAACCTTGACCTACCTCATTTGCATATTTAGTGTCTGAAGAATTCCACCAGACATTTGAGAGGGTGTAGCTATAATGCCTTTCAATCCCACTCCATTGCGCCTGAGTGATTCAACGACTGTCTCCAGTGATGCACTTTGAGCTGGTTGCACCTCACTGAAAGTGAATTCATTGATAATAAGACGATAGGCAGACTTCATTTTATGAGGGTTTCCTATAGAATTTTAACGATCACATTCTTTGACCTTCCCTCATTTTTCCCTGGCCAGTCTAATTTGTCCTTGACCATGATGGTTGTTAACACAAATAAAACATTCACTTCAAAATATTTATTTCATTCCATCATAACATGTACATCTATAATCAAACCTTGCTGTCTTTACCTGGATGACATCTATATTTCGATGCAATGTTTGTTCCCATGAATGTATCTGATATTTGATAAAGTAGATGTGAACCATACATGAACAATGGTGACTGCACCAGAGGCAATTTTGGAGTGACATTCAGTGATAAAAAGAACATTATACAATTGCAACCAAAAAATGTAAATTTGTATAAAGCATGGTATATGCCCTACTACAGTATATCACTAAAATTTAGGATTTCAGATCAAAGTAATCTAGTTTCATCCTGGAGAATCAATGAGGATTAGTGTATATTTCACATTCCTGATAATCCATGGACTCATCCATCACATTGAACTTTGATACTACTACAGAAAAAATGGAATAACCACGGACATTTCTGGATTAAGGATGGATGCCTGGATACATGAATGTTTGAATGTTCAATCACAAAAGCAAAACATTTTCTTTTCAATCTCAGTTTATTAGTCATAATCAGTTGACTTTCATTTTTCCAGGATCACAGTTCACAAAGTGACACTACCTCAACTGTACATCTATAGTCCATACCTGACAAAAACTTCTTCAAAGTCTACAGGAACACCAGCTGCTGTGAAAACCTCCCTGACACTGGCCATTAGTTCTGGCCCGACTCCATCTCCTGGCACCATTGTTACAGTTTGGTGGCCTTCAGGCTTGGACACAGGTTCAGAACTTGCTAGGGCAGCCCTGGCAGGTTGTAAGTGAAGCTGTCTTCTAACTGCATAGCTGCACAGCTGTAAAGATGTATATATATATACTTGCCCGTAGCCAGCTTTTACCAGGAGGGGGAGCTTTTTCCAGGGGGGATCTTTTTCACAATTTTGACTAAAAATCATGCAAAAAATTCTCAGAATGGTGAAAAACTGCATGATTTTGAAAGAATTTCTGGCTAGGGGGGGGGGGGCTTCCGCTTCCCCAGCTCCCTCTCTGGCTACGGGCCTGATATATATCATATGTATTTGTTTATTGAGAGAATTTGAAAATGAAATAATAAATTTGTTAATTTTGAATGTTGTTTTTTGTGCTTACTTAAAATACATGGTTTATTTGATGGTTGTATATATTTGAAGGTAATTTCTTTTAATTAGGTTAAACATGAAAATTCAAAAAGTACCAAGGAGGATCCCCCTGAGCCCTTATATTGTCTTCCCTAAGCATACCTGACGGCTACGAAGGTTGAAATAGTTGAGTGGAAAAAACAATGCATCATGATTTTTGGAATGCAACCAATATGGCTGAAGAAGCTTCAGAGTCAGTCATTTTTGTGACAAAAACATCTTCAGCTGCAAGGTATTGGCATGGTATCCATTAGCCTTGTTTACTCTACCAGAAGTCAGCTCTGGGAAGTTCCGTTGGCATTGCAACGAAGAGAATAAATTGAGCGCATGCGCTAAAAATTAAAAAATGGTGCGCGTCGGAACAGAAATTTCTCCAATTTAACTGCAAATTACACAACAAATAGGACTTGTTGACACCACGCGTCAAAAAAAGGGCAAGTAATATTCAATTATCTTCCTAAATACCGTTACTTATGCCAGCGCACCAGCTGGAAGTTGGGGAAAAACGCTTCACAAGCCGGTATATTCTAACGGTGTGTCAGCTGGCTTTTGAGCAAGCTGTGTTCAGTAAAGCCTTGTAGAAGGCTTTAGCATTTGTTGATTTTAACAAATGATCTCCCAAAAGACAAAAACTGTTCGAGGGATCTTAGTAAACTTGCAGCCTGAATCGTTGATTATCAAAACTTATCGTTCAAATTAGGCCAGAATCTAACTTTAAACATCTTGATTATGAGCCCATGTATTATCTTAAACTTGAGTCTGAACCTGAGAGCATATTTTTCATCCAATTTCCAATCCTAAATCCACGAATTATTCCACATGCTATCTATTGCAAGACTTATGCCTGCCACAACCGTCACCATATTAATCAATGTTTTTAAGTAGCGCAAGGATCCTGCCATGACCGTGGTAGTGTTATCGTGTAAGCCTGGTATAACCGTGACAGGCTGGTATAACCGTGACAATGCTGTATTATATTGCAAGGCCTGTCATGACCCTGGAAGTGTTATCGTGGAAGCCTGGCGCGACCGTAGCCTTTATTGTGGTTTATAAGCGAATGTGAATATTAATGTATAGTAGTTATTTTGATTTTGACATGATTAAGGTAGTAAAACACCATGATAATAGTATTAAACTGTTTAATTGTAATGACGATCACTTAAAATTGTTAAGGATATTCCTGGCATTAATGTCATACATATTTACTAGTTATTGCAATACATTATAACAGCCATAGTAGGACTAAGCCTAAATTTCTACATTACCACCCTCATACCTGGCTTTGCAATACTATATTACATTGTCACGGTCATACCAGGCTTTGCGATCCCATAATGCATTGTCACGGTCATGCTAGGTTTTCAAATACACATTGTCACGGTCACTTATAGCAATCATAAATTTCTACATTACCACTCTCATACCCGAACTTGGAATACTATATCACATTGCCACGGCGGTCATACCAAGCCTTGCAATACTATATTACATTGTCACGGCCATGCCAGGCCTTGCAGTACTATATTACATTGCCACGGTAATGCCAGGCTTTGCAATACACATTGTCACGGTTATAGCAGTCCTAATCGTAAATTTCTACATTACCTCTCTCATACCTGAACTTGCAATACTATATTACATTGTCACGGTCATACCAGGCCTTGCAGTACTATATTACATTGTTACGGTCATAGCAAGCCTTGCAGAACTATATTACATTGTCACGGTCATGGCAGGCATTGCAATATAATACAGCATTGTCGCGGTTATACCAGGCTTTCACGATAACATTACCACGGTCATGGCAGGATCCTTGCGCTACTTAAAAAACACTGAATAACATGGTGACGGTTACGCCAGGCGTTAGGCTAGTCTTGCAACAGATACAGTTGGGGACATAAATAAATGACAGGTGGATTTGCTGAAGTGAGGATTTCCCATGTTAAAAATAAGAGAATTTACAAGAGGCCATAAATCAGTGGATGAGATTATACAAAATGTAAAATATACAAATTTTAAGGGATATGTATCTAGACAATATTGGAAATTATGGGCTTTCAGACCACAATAATTAGGAAATGGTGATCGAAAATCGACCTGTCATTTATTTTTGTCCCCAACTGTAGGGTCTCAATTATTCTATCAATGAATCAGATGGATTCATTCACCAAAAAGTTATAAATTCAAGGTAAATTGATTTTCCAATATACACCTTGGGATATATTGCATACATTTTCTTCAGTATGTGCTTACATCGACCACAATTCTTACCTTTTTGGAGGATCTTAAAATTTCTCTAGCAACACTTGCCATCTTGATTTAGGACAATCCCAATGACGTCAGGCATATGAAAGCGAGGCAGGCAGGGGAGATCCCAAAATGGCAACGAAACAAATTATTTCCAAGATTTCAGATTTCAAATCGATAAGTTGGATAACCTCATTATTAATATGTCCATTGAGTTCGAGCCGTTGCACACTGGTAAATGATATGGTCAACCTCTAGTTTAATTAAGTAGCATGGCTTGTCATTTTTGTTTTTTGGTAGAAAACAATGATATAGCCTACTTGATGTTTTCATAAGGGGGCGTGGTACATTCCCGGGGCACATCATAGTCATGGTCATATAATCGAATGAGCGCATCATTCACATCTAAAAAATTGTAATGAGATGATGTTTATGGGCCCATAGCCCCCTCCATTTGGGAAATATATATACAATGTACATCTAATAACTATGATTCTAATAACTATTAGGTGTAAAGTATTCCGAGATCTAGATCGGAATTTTTAATGTATTCTAAGTGATCTATAGTGCCAACTTCATGCTGTTTCTTTTTGCACACATTGGTGCGGTTACTTTATTTCAGTTTACAGGTCAAAACAGACTGATATCTAGTAAAACAATAGATTATCCTGCTAGTAGATTTCCCATCCCAGATCGAGATACATTACCTAAGGAAATCAAGGATCAAATGAGAGAAGTTGAAGCAAAGGTAAAAACGCTTACTTGAATCTTGAGTGAAACAAATCATTTGGAATTAGTACTAAGTGCACATTTTCTTTGACCATTAACTCCTTTCTCGTCTCTGTGACCACCTTTATGTATACTAATTGGATGCACAATGTAAAACCTTCTGTCATAAATATGATTGTTCAAGTATGTTTTACTTTGTTTGTAGGGTGGATTTCTGCCAAATGTATTTAAAACTTTGTCCCACAGACCTGCAGAGTTTAAGGCTTTCTTCAGTTATTATGATGCCCTGATGGAAAAAGAAACAGGTGAGAAAATAAAGGAACATTAGATGGAAATGACAGATCATGATTTTAAGAATATTTTCACCACTGTGCAACCGCTAAATTGTAATCAGCGAGACAAATATTGGTACCTTGATCATACACGAGGACACTCAAAGTTGTCATACCATCTAAATGTTTCAACCAAAATAGAATTTGTGAGAAAATACATGTAGGCCTACTGTAATATCCAAAATTTAACTAATATAGCCTCATGTGATAAAAGGGAAAAAAGTACTCCTTGCATTAGTGAAAGTTGGCTTTGTACTAAATACATAAGTATCTGTTTTTAGGTAACCTTACAAAAGCAGATAAAGAGATGATTGTAGTTGCAACTAGTGCTGAGAACAATTGCATCTATTGTGTTGTGGCCCATAGCGCTCTACACAGAATATATTCAAATAATAAAATCCTAGCAGACCAGGTTGGTATCGACTGTCTACATCTAAGACGTTTGGCTCCAACGTTGAGTCTCAGTTCTCGTCTGTCCTCCCTTCACAGTTTTAATGTGTACATGTATTTTCCTTTTCTGAGAATAATCACCGTAAAATTACCTCGTCTTCTTTATTCCTGATTATGCCCACATTATATTCAATTCATCCCCCACCCTTCAGATGGTTAATAATTAATATTAAGTAAGAATAGTCAGTAAGGTGGCCTGTGATTGATACGATTGCAGATAACTATAAACTGGAGATGTTCTGACCTAGGAGACAGAGAGAAGGCTATTCTAGAGTTTGCCATGGATGTGTGTGCGTGCAAGGCTATCACAGATGAACACTTTAAAAGACTACAAGAGCATGGATTGGACAAGGAGGATGCCTGGGACATTGGTGCTATTGTTGGCCTATTTGCATTGTCAAATAGGATGGCTCATGTAACAAATATGAGACCTAATGATGAGTTTTACCTAATAGGAAAGGCCAAGAAACAATAATTAAATTGGCAATTTATTTGGCATTTTCACACTCTGCCAACACAAATTGATGCCAAATATTCAATAAATTCCCAGGGTAATTGTACAGGGTAATTTACTTAGTGTTATGTATTAATGTTTATGTACATTCATGGAATTATTGGCTGGAGGAGTTCATTACCTTCATGGTCAGCTCATAGAAGGGTGATTCATCAATGGAAAAGAAGACTACAAATACAGCGTATTGACAGGTTGTTCAAATTAGCCAAAGATGGAAAAATTCCCCATATTATTACTTGCTATATGAGCACTATGCAACAATCATATACTTACTGTCAATAACATTAATAAATTCCATAGGTTTCCTAGTATAATCTATTACTTATATTTTGTATTTCATGTTGATGTTAATAATGAGACGTTGTGAAATAGAACATTCTTACTTTTTTCGAATGTACTATACTACTATGTAGTATACAAATCAGATCATTTTCTCCTGTTTTTCGTGCTGCATTCAAATCGAATTCAACTGTCTTGAGTTTCCATACCCTTTGCATTCGTTCAACTTCACTTCTTAAAAGAAAGCTTCGTCTTCACTCGGTAGTTTATAAGGTAGAGTTTCCATGTCATATAAGCCTGATTTGGTTCAAATATTAAAGCATTACGTCAACTTTAATCTGGTTTAATTCGATGAAAACAAAAATATCGAAATCGACATTTTTCGTCCGCCATCTTCTTAAATGTAAAGGTAACGGCCGTTACCTTCGCTTGATTCTGATCAGTGATTTAGAAAACAAAACGGAACAAATATCTTAATAATGTCAAGTGTTTGTAATCTATGAAATAAATTGAAACGAAACTACAAATGGTTTGTCAGAACGTTTTGTGTATGCACGGGCTTTCAAGAGAAATGTCAATTGTCAATCCGTATATATGTCAATATTAGTTACTGACACCGTTATTTCTGGATAATGAATTCATACACAGTTGCTTAATACTTCTAATTCTTAGAAAACTATAACAACGTTTTACATTTTATTAGCATTTTTATTTGATATTTCAGATGTAACCATAGTGGTCGCTCACAACCTGGGTACAGCGTTAATACTAAAAGAAATTAAAATCCGGAGTACCTGGGTCCCTAGGATGAATATGGTCTCTGGACTTAAGTATATTGCCTCGTAGATGTGATATAATTTTGCCCTATAAACGCCGTTGCTGGATATAATATCAAAGGCCTATATAATTAGTAAATAGACCAATTGAGTTTTTCTCATTCTAAGATGTTGTAATGAAGGTTATTGACTTTCTCCTATCTTGCCCACGCCATATAAATGAAAGAATTGATATGTTGGCTGCACTGAGACAAAATAACCTACTTTATGATACAAACACATGTACAAATCAAAATGACCAATTAGAATATCTTATTTTTGAAAACACCCTCTGTCGAGATTCTCAAAATACCCTCATTGACATAGTAACTGACTTTGTTGGAACGTGTTATATACACCCAACTAGAATTTAAAGTTAAAACTTTGACTCATATAGCATCTCTCAACCTCCTGGACCCAAATAAAATAAAATAAAAACTTATATTGTTTATCTATTTTATTTACAATATTTTACTTACTTTCTGTTTTGTGATATCTAAAGCCACATGAAAACTATGTTTAATTTACTTAAAGCAACCTGTAATGCCACATGGCGATTGGTATGCTTTTATATGTAATTGTTTATATTGTTTTCAATAAGTGAAATAAAATCATTAATAATAAAAAAGGTTATTGATTTGCCTAAACAGGAACATTGTCTTCATCGTCAGAAAGTGCGATATCGTTTCATTATTTTTGGTGATTTATAGTTATGGTTTGTAAAGGTGTCGATTGACACATTTTCGTATTCTTGTAAACTTGTATCGTCTAATAAGTTATTTTGTGATTCTGAAAATAAAACGAAATTAATGTAATTCACAAAACGAAGTTTTGACTTGGAATGACCTGGAATGGAATTGACGGACTCTCTGATGAAGTCAAACGTCTAAACGCTTTTTATTCAGATAATTTTGCAAATCAAATCCAGTAAAACTTGATAAAACATAAATATATTTAATAAACGTTTCAGAGAACCTTTAAATTTGTTGACCGGGAATTGGACTTCTAAGTCACTTACTTTTCTTAAATCTCGAACAATGTCAAATCTTTCTATATACTCTAGCCCATCAACCAATTTTTTCCAAATAGTTGCATCATCTCCGTCCTGTCTCTGCCACCACTTTGTTAACATCGCCGGAGACCACGCTTCCGCGTCATGCTTACAACTACTTTGCATATTACTTAGGCGTCCTTCGTCAAATCCAAACTTTTTGCCAAGTTTTTTGAACTCCCCTTCTGTTAAGCTAATATCATGAAACATCAATTCCCATTTAATAGGAGCTGAAAAGAAAATCATTTTATGTTCGAACTTATCCAATCCTTATGAACTTTAAAGAACAAGGGTCCTTAAACCCAGTAGAATATCTTATTTATACAAGCAAATCGACGTGTCCATAGCTTTCAATACATTGTCTTAACTTTAACAAGCCAATTCCCCGGTTTGCTTTAGTTTGGTTTTCTTACCTGACATACCCGCCATTTTGTTGAATGTCTTGGTGCAATCTGTAGGAACGTAGATAATAAAACATTAAGAGAAATACAACGATTTAAAAGTACACAACAAAACGAAACTAATTTTAAACCATACCTTTTAATTTTTAAACCAGCACTTAAAACTCAAATCAAACAAATCAATTTATGACCCCTTTTGATTATCTTTTCACTTTCTTTACAATTGTAATTTTAAATACAAATATTTTCATAAAACATTCACTAAAACACTCATAATGCTCTAGGCATAAACTATAAAATGGAGGATCCATATGGATGTAAAACCAGGATTTGCCAGGGAGGGGGGCAGGGGGTAGTTCAAATGTCAGAAATAAAGATGTCCAAAAGCTCTCGGCTCCAGGCATGGATGGCCGAATTTACATATTAAAGGACTTGAGTAATCCCAAATATTATCTCTGTTGGTAAAACATAAACACTCCATTGGCTAATTTTCTAAGGTTGGGGTGCTGGTCGGGACAAATAGAAATAATAGGAGTCCAGGAGGGAATTAGTTCACGTATTTCTAAATAGGCGACGATGGTTAGAACTAGAAAATTTGCCACGGGATATTACAAATAACAAAAGGCTGCTATCTGACATTTCTTTCAAGATTGGAAAGTTTCTAACTTTGGGAACCAAGATACCTACCCGGTACCCTAACTTTTCTGCATGCACATGCCACTATAGACAATATGACCAATGTTAACGCAATCATAATACCTCCAGGCAACGAAAAATCTGAAAAGAAGCTTTCGATACTGAGAAAAATGAAATAATAAAACATAGAATTCAATAGAATTAAAATAGAAGAAATGTCAACAACAATCTATAAGTTAACATTACGTTTATTCTAAAGTGCTAATTTTTTCAGCTAATTCTCCAAGACCATGTTTCAGCAATTAAAGACAATTATCACATAATACGGGAAATCCGTTGCTCGAATTTCTAACATTTCTACTAAGAAAAGTGTTCTATACCAGTTGTCTCAGCAGTTTTTCTTCGATCATTACTTTCTTCAGTATGACTCCTTTCGTCTTCCCCCACTTGTTCGTCAGAATATTTTGAACTAAAAATTATTTAAATGTTTTAAATGTATTCTGTCATTTTTTGATTTCATCATAAATAGCCGGAATCTTGCAGTTTATGGTGTAATCTGGAATTCACAATGACAAACATATATTTTACCTGCTTCCAACCTTTTTAGATCTTTTATATTCGAGAACTTGATGTGCGAGATCCACTCTTCCTATTTCTCTAAGTGCTTCTGCAAGTAGCCTCTGAATGTTTTCATGCTTTTCTCGTCTTTGTTTCCACAGATTTAAAACCTGGTATGCCCAATTTCCAGCGACATGTTGATCACTTGACTTTATATTTTGGATATCAGCATCACTGATCCCGAGCTGAATCCCAAGCGCATGCACATTGTTCCCCGGTATTTGCTTACAAATGCTCAACAGGAATTTATCATCTAGATTACCTAAAATGTTAATGTTTTAAAGTACAGAATACTTTGGATTACAAAATACCCAATACATCTAAATCTCATTAATACCTTCAGAGTTATGCTGAAAACATTTGTATATATATTATCATGTCACTTGATGTCTAAAATACAGATTAAAGGAAAAACGAAATTTTCAAACTAATCTCGTATTGAACGGTGGGAGACAGACCACCATGTCCTAAATTTACCTCTAATTGTTACCAGCAAAAATGCCACCATAAACTGCATTTTTGTCAAATCCAGCAGCATTTTCAGTCACTATCTCGTCACTTTATGTACAGGGTAAGTTCCACTCCCATGTATACCTAATGTAGTTTTTATACGTACTCTGAAAGGTTGTGATTTGGTCATTAGTAGCTACACACAATTTTTCTCATATTTGAACCATTTAATCACACGGCATGCAATATACCGTATTTAGTATCTTTTTAAATGTATACCTGTACTATTACACGTTATTGTAGAGTTGTAGCATATTTATTGCGTACATTCACACCCTCAAGGGTCAGGTACAGGTACAAGAAAGTGAAATACATAAGGGTTATGTACTGGGAGGTTTTGGATACAGGGTTTATCCCAAGGGAAATATGTGTATCTCCCGAGGGACCGAATTATTCTTAAGGTACACGTTTTCTTGGTCTTAAAGATTGCGAGATTTGTAAAAAATTTGAAAAAATGTGAAAAAAAAATTTAAAAAAAATTTGAAAAAAATGTTGAAAAAAAAATTTAGAACAAAAATTAATATTTTTTTTCATGAGCGGGACCGGGATGGATACAGGCTGTATCCATCCCGCCCCGCTCCTCGGTGATATATCCCTAGATACAGTATATATTCCCGCTCGTTATTTACCTAGAACCTTAGTAGGTATGGAATACATGAAAAATATTAAATCCATTGGAGCTAGAGATCCATCAGCCCCATGTAAGAGAAATCCCTTGTCACAATACACAATGCTGTTGTGTTACAAGAAATGGCTCACCAGACATGCATTTGTCGGCATCTGACAAATCCGTGTCTGCTGGTTTTCTATCTCGATTCGTGAGGTTTCGCGTATTCAGTCTCAAAACGAAAGCAATAAAACACACGACTGTGAAGCTCCAAGTGTTCTGGGCTACCCAAGTATTCCGAATCTTGCCGAAGTATTGTGACTTGGCCCAAGTATTCTGGGTTTACAAATACACTCGATACGGTGATTTTCAATTTCTAACATCAATTTTAAGTTTCTACAGAGACGACTGTTGACATTAAGATAATGGAACCACTTCTAATGTGGCTGCCTCGTGCATAAAAAGGCTTTCAATTTATTCATATAAACTAACAGGGTACCCATTGGGGAATGTAAAATCCACGGTTGTTCGACTTTTGCACCATCGGACACTCCTGAGCAATAGAATATTTAGACAGAATATATCAATATTTAGGCTGGGTTTCAATTTCAGGAATATACCTAATTTTGGGAAAAATGGGTCTCGATTTAAAAAAAATGGGTCCATATTCTTAAAAAGTGTGTAAAAAAATTCATTTTAGGACCCTCTTTTTTATCCTAGCTGTCAGAACAGTTGGGCAAGAGTCAGAACACATGGGTAGCCCAGAACAGTTGGGCTTCCACACACGACCATGATAATCTTGAGCTTTACCCTGTCAAGTATGATTTTCTAGATCTTGATTCAAAACGAAACTAGATTATTCGTGATATCGGGTACATACCCCCTGTTCCAAAAATGTTGTGCGTCTTCATCGATGGCTCATAACTTTTGCTATTCATGACTTCATGTATGTCCAAGTCAATTATCCTCTATTTTACGCAACTTTGAAATTTAAAAACTATTCTTGTTCAAAATTAACAATGTCATTACAGTTGATGCATAGGGCAGGGTCTATATAATTGTGTTTGTATGGAAAGGTAACAACAATGATATTGATATATAACACTTTACATGTATCACAATGGCAATTATTGTTACAAAATCTATGTGATTTCTTCGGTCAAAATATGTTAACATTATCTGAAGAATGACTTAAGTATGAATGAAATGTCCCTTGGTGTTCTGGTCCTGGATTGCGATTTTCCACACTCTCCACTAGAGGGGGAAGGGGGGGGGGGTGTTGGGCATTATTTCTTCTCACGTTAGATCATGGTTTTGGAATATATAGGATCCATTTTTCTTATGACAGGTTACACCAGGTGTAGTTTGATTTTCTTGCTAGGTATTTTTAGTTTTCGATCCTTTCCCTTTGGCATTTGTGCTTAGATGTCGATCTGTTGTTTTCATGAATTCAATAAAACGTACTCATATGTTAAATTCTGAATAGTTGAAACCAAACCATTGTCAAATGTTCCATAGTGATAACTTAGTAATAACATAAGTGATTACATTTATTTTATTTTTTTATTTATTTATTCATATATATTTCAACATCAAATGTACAGTAAACGGGTGACACTTCTCGTGTATATTCCCATGTTTATAATCAAACATGGAATGTACAGATTGGGGATCTGCTTGTGTGATGGATGCTACTATCTATGTCTGACAAATTATGTGTCATATAATGCCCACTATGGTTATTTAAAATTGGTATTATTGATTGATAAAATATTTTTTTCAATTCTTTTTTTCATAATAAAAATACTTCCAGATGATGTAATTTCAATAGGTAATGAATTCCAAATTGATGGTGCAGTAAAAGATATCGAAGCTTTACCATAATTGTTCGAATTTGGGGTTTGCATAATCAACCCTATTTCGGGTGTTCATGGTAATTATGTCACCACCAATAAGTGGTGACATATTGTAATGGTCTTCGTTTTTTGACGGCGGTTGGTGGTTGGCGAGCGGCGGTTGGCGATCGCCGTCTGTAACACTCTCACAACTTCCAATAACTTAGCAAATACTGTTTAGACTGACTTCATTTTTTTACAAAATCATCTACAAGTTATCAGAAGTTCAAATCTGACTTTAGATTTGAGATTTGACCTTCAATGACCATTTTTCCATCATCTACAAGTTCTCAAAAATTCAAATTAGGCTATAGATTTGACCTTCATTGCCCTTCTCAAGATCAAAAAAGATTTACCTTCAATGACCTTCTCAATGTCAAAAAAGTTCTTTCTACAAGTTTTACAAGTTCTCAGAAGTTCAAATCTGACTTTAGATTTGAGATTCCACCTTTAATGGCCTTCTGCAGGTCAAAAAGGTATTTTTTCAACTTGCTTCAAATTGACCAATTTATTTTTTCAAAATCATCTACAAGTGCTCAGAAATTCAAATCTGACTTAAGAATGAACTCATAATCTTGTGAGCAACTAATGTAGATAACAATCCATTTGGATACTCAACTTTTTTACTGCTACTCACCTAGTTACGCTGACGATGCGTCAGCGTAACAAGATGGAAGAACTTTCGGGCTTCGTTTTCGATAAGATATTTTTATATCTCGATTCTACACCACTTATAGGTTAAGTTGTGGGCAATACTCTGGCTCAAAGTTAAGGAAGACAGTCTAGTTTGAGAATATGCAGGTGGTTCTACGTTTGGTATATTAACGAAGACGCAATTCACATATTTAGTCCCTCGCTTTTGTTACTTTGACGATCTTTATGAATATTGTCACATTGGCAATTTCGGTCATTTTGCATTTTCCGTCCTCAAATCATGTCTGTAAAGTCTTGTCTACACATCCAAGCCAAACCGTTTGTTGGATTGATCTGAAATTTTATAGAGATATTTATTAGTTTGGACTTTTCGGACTGATCAGTTTTTTGGCATTCTGGTGAAATGTTAAGGCGGCTATTCTAGATAACGTTTATTTAGATTGTGTTATTGTGTTATGCACAACCAATAGACTAGCATATTTCATACAGTTTGTTTTGCTTTGAATGCAACTTGAAAACAATGAAGATGTTGTGTTTCATTCGTTGAATAATCAACATTTGTATATATTAGATACAATATCATACAGTTCATTTGTCAGAATCGATGGCCTAATCTTTCCAAAACACGTATTCTACTTACACTTTTATTTTATACCTTTCTGTTTACTATACGTCAGATACTCCCCCTGTTTTTGTCTTTGTGGGTTGGGTGTTAAGATAGATCCCAATGGTTTGGCAATGGGAAAAGAAGATTTATCTGGAAATAAATCATATCTAATAACCTATTATAAAACCTTTAATTCATGTATTGAATGAAGTACCGGACCGGTGGTTTTCTTAGTACGATATAACAGGCCTCCTAGACTCCTTTTAACGCGATCATCAGTTCCGACCCCGCGTTCGTTCCTTTTACACGAACCACGGTTCTCACACTAAAGTGTGGTTTGCGAGTAAAGAACTCCGTTCGCGAGTAGAGAAATATATTCGGGAGAGAGGTAAAGTGGTTCACGATTAAAGAATCGATATTCGCGTTGTGAGAACAGTGGTTCGGGTGGAAAGAATGATGGTCGCATTAATGGAAGTATAGGAGGTCTGTATAACTTCGAGACATATTAAAAATCATGAGAGGTACGACATCTCAAAATGTTTCAACAAATATGTTCTATACTTTTTTCCTTACACTGAATACATATGTAGTTAACATTAAATGACCTCGTCATAAATTGTTTATGATAGCTGAATTAATTTGAACAAGGGTTATTAAATCTGTAAATTATTTGCTATAGTTTAATCAAGATTAGGGTCCAACATAATTTTCTCTGACACACCAAACAATATGTTCATTCTTAGGAATGTTTTGAAAAGGGAAGTCAAATGCATAGGCAGAACATCTTGATCTTCTTACTCTTATTTTGTGAGTCGGCCATTTCTTTGCTTGACGGTAGACCAGGGTATAGCAATGGTTTATGGGGTGTACCGGTATGTCGTGGGACCATTTCATTCGGTTTAGTTGCTGTGGATTTGTGGGATTCAGTGTCTCCCTTTGATGATAATTCTTGAATTGGAACATTCCTCGTTGCTAATACAGAAAACAGAGACCTGACTTAAAGGTGTTAGATCTAGCGAGCAACCTCAACAAAAATTGTCTCAAGTTCGTATCCTTCCTTGTCAAGTCTTTTTTGAATTTCCAAGAATGCATATTTTATTTGAGGAAAGCTTTAAATTTAAATTGCGTTCATTTCTCTATAAATGTGATCGGCACATTTATCAATAAAAGACCATTCACACAGTTGTGACAAACTGAGCACTTTGAATCTTGAATAACCTCACAAATTAATAATATACCGTATATATAAAGTTATGGAATTTAGAATGTAGGCCCGAATTTCAAAGTTGTTTTGGCGGTGATGTGTCACGTGTCTTGTGAAAAGCCCAAAATAATGAAAATATGCATTATTTGACTTCTAAGAATGTCTTAGTATAGTGTTTTCTTGAATTTTCAAAAAATGTGGAAGGGTATTTTACCGAGAATCACTTCTCTAAAAATCTTTAATATTCATATTGTATTTGGTCGATTGAATGTTTTAGCCTGTTGAGGCTGGGAATGTAGTTTAGTGATTTATGAAGTTTTGTCCCATATTTAGTCACCGACTAAGATACTAATATATATATAGGGTGTCCCGAAAGTATGCCCCCCCCCCCTAGGCAGACATACAGTGTCGTCAAAGTACGTGTCATATATCATTTTAAAGCTTATCTAAACTTACATTGATTTACTAAGTATAATAAGATCTACTCTCAAATGGGAAAAAGTTACAGTCATGTTAAAATTTAGTGTTTGGCCAAAATAAAGTTCAATTTTTCACCACATTACTAGTCAATGTGTCCTCTCTTGGCCATGGTTCAGCAGGAATTCTTTTCAGATATGACCTTAAAACTAAAAGCCTTTCAAATAGGGGTGTGGAATTTTGTAATCCTCTTAAAACCTTTTAAGGCAGTATCTACCATCACGCCGTTCTCTTTTTCCAACTCAATATCCATTCGAACCCATAGGAATCGCTGCTGTTCAGATGGCCCGGGGGGACACATTGACTAGTTATTTTTGTGTAAAATTGAACTTTATTTTGGCTTTAAATTGGCCATACACTAAATTTTGAAATGCCTGTAATTTTTTCACATTTGAGGGTTGAACCATGATACTTGGCAAATCAATGTAACTTTGGATAAGATTTAAAGTGATAAATGACACATACTATGAAGACACTGGTATATGCCTGCCTAAGGGGGGGGGCATACTTTCGGGACAGCCTGTAAGTAATAATATGTATGCACTACTCTAGTACTTACTCTTGTGTTGATTACGATCTGTTTCTGTGTTCGATGGCAGGCGAGGATAGAGTAATGGTTCATGAGGTGACGCGGAATCCTCTGTCTCTTTTTTCTTCTCAGTTGATGTAGTTGAAGGTAAATTGTGGGATTCAACCACCCCCTTGGGGGAAAACGCCTGCATCGTCATGAACTCATTTTGATCTATTTCAAAATATATTCGAGGGCTGATCATAAAATTCATTCTCATGAAATTTTCACAGAATTTAAAATTAAAGATAACCGTGAACATGACTATCAGTAACCATGTTTACAAACAACAATATATTCCTGATTTTGGTTGTCATGGCAGTCATTATATTTTTATTTCAAAATTTCTCTTTAAATATTTTTTTCTCGTTTAATACGCCACTTGTGTTGCTCATTCTTTGAATTTCGACAGAATTGAAAAACAAAAAATAGAGAGATATATGTATTATGAGAACTTAATGATCAACCCTCGTATGATACAAAGTATTTATAAAAACACACTACCAGCTGATGTTTCCGGGTCCGTACGTGTCACGTTGCGTTTTCGTCTCGATCGTTTATAACAGCATACAGCGAGTACAACAACTAAAATGACGAAAATTCCAGCACCGGTACCACTGATTGTAAATAACAGCCATTGTTGAAACGAAACTAAAATAAAACATGCCATTTTTATTTGGTACTCCTACTCTCTCGTTGCGGCTATCATCTCATTTCTTCCAATCACAGACTGGATTGAATTCTTGTTTTCAGTCTCATTAGCTGAATACATTAGCTGAATATATCCAAGTTCGACAGGACGCTCAATCCCGTCTGTGCGTCCAATAAACAAAGTGCAACATCGGAATAACTGAAAATTCACTTATTTTTATTTATTTTTATTGAATATTTCCAAATTAAAGTATATAAAACCCCATTGTCATATATTAAATGATTTGGTTGACGTATGGATTGCGATTTAACCTTAAAATTGCGTTCCTTAAAAAAAATCAACGTTTAAAGATTCCTTAAGTCTAGTCCCCATATAAAGTTTAAACCACTTTTACTTATTTTGTAGTTTTCAAAATTTTGGTTCTCATAGTTCACCAATGGCACAATGATATCTAAAACATAATATAATCTTCCTTTTAACCTGGTTAGACATTCAACATCGGTATTGAAGTCTAGCATATTTAGAAAAGATTGACATCGAAAAAAAAATTCAAAAAAAAAATTTTCAAAAAGTATTTGCCACCTTCGTGACTTCACTAATGTTTCAAAATATTTTTGGTATGCTAAAACATTGAAGTGGCCCATTCAATATGGCATTTTATTATTGAAATAGTGTGTCATTTGTTCAATCTTTGCATTGGTGTTAAAAAGATAGTCTTTTTTGAAATGCATTAGGAAATATTTGATGATTAAAAAATTACAATTTTTTTAAAAAAATGGCAGGAAATTTGAATATTTGAGAAATGAAATGCTCACAACCTTTTTTTCAATTTTTTTTTTCAAAAATCACTAAAATAACTTTTTAAGTCGTGACAAATAGTAAATGAATGATAAAAAATATTTTCAAACTTTAGACGGGGATTTTAACACTGTGTCAATATTTTTGTATTTTAAAGTATCTTGCTATAGGGTTAAAATTCAATGACTGTGACAATGCGTATATGTTCAAAACAGATGAAGTGACATCAACCAGGGTAGCTACCTTGCCTCAAAGCTTGTATTCGCGGATGCAACTCATTTAAATATGAATAGTACCTACCACTATTCGATTCATACTTAAATGACTTGGTCATAAAATAGTAGGTTAATCCGGTAGCCGACAGCCGAAAATTGTATTTGCGAATACAAGCTTACTTTTTGAACAATTTTGGTTTTCTGCAGACCAGCTACTGACATGACCGGAAGGCACGCACTGGACTGTAGCGTTCCCAGATAATGCGTAACCCTCGTTACAGCTAAAGTTTATAAAACGTCCTTCGCCATATTCATCTAATCTTGGAGTATAGGTGGCATGGTCGGGCAATCTTGGTGGATAACAATATGCTACAAAAGTAAAAGTGAATCAGTTCCACATATTGGAATTTCAAGAAAATAAAAAATTGAGAAAATACGAAAAAGAGAGCCTTTTAAAATAACAGGGCAGAAAAAGAAAAAACGGGGGAAACGCTCCACGTTTTATTTTTTTCATTTAAATATACAGTATGATCATGAAGTAAGATCAAAAGTGCTATAACGGTTGTAAACATTTATGAATCTGGCTCATTTTCTCACAGAATGTTAATCTAAGAATTAAACTAGACAAAAAATAATTGTCAGCAAGTTACATTCAGTATTCTGCGTTCTTTGGTAACCATGGCAACATTTTTTCTTAATGGTTTAATACATTTGGAACGCCACCATATTTTGCATGTTATATTCAATGCATTCTTATTTCACTACCAAAAGTGGTTACATATTGTTATGGTCTCCGTTTTTTGTGACGGCGGTTGGTGGTTGGTGGGTAGCGGTTGGCGTCTGTAACAAATTCTTACAATTTCCTATAACTTAACAAATACTGTTTGACTGAATTCAATTTTTTTCAAAAACATTAAGTTGTCAGAAGTTCAAATCTGACTTTAGATTTCAGATTTGACCTTCAATGACCTTCTCAAGGTAAACCAAGGTCAAAAAGGTCTTTATTCAACTTCCCTCAAATTGACCATTTTTTCCCAAATCATCTACAAGTTCTCAGAAGTTCAAATCTGACTTTAGATTTGAGATCTAGCCTTCAATGACCTACTCTAGGTCAAAAATGTATTTTGTCAACTTGCTTCAAGTTGACCGATTAATTTCAAATTTATCTACAAGTTCTTAGAAGTTCAAACTGACTTTTGATTTGAGATTTGACCTTTCATGACCTTCTCAAGGTCAAAAAGGTATTTTTTAACTTGCTTCAAATTTACCAAATTCTTTTCAAAACCATCTACAAATTCTCAGAAGTTCAAATCTAACTTTAGATTTTAAGATTTGACTTTCAATGACCTTCTCAAGGTAAAAAATGTCAAAAAGGTTTTGTTCAATTTGCCTCAAACTGACCTATTTTTCTTTTCAAAATTATCTACAAGTTCTTAGAGGTCATTGTTGTATTTTATTCAGCAGGAGATCCAAGACGTCATTTCCATTGTTCTTTCGGCAAAATCGCGTAGTAATCTACGGTGATCAGTCCATTTAAATTTCACGCTTTTGAACGTCATGGTGTATACATGCATTTCTAATCGATCATATCTCAGTCAATATTTATCATTATATTATAAATTTGATAATTAATGAAAGCTTATTACAAGGGCATTATGTACGTGAATTAATTACTTCGATCCGATAAAATACCACCAAGATACGGGTGCTAACGTGTTGACATATTTTTCATTAAAAATGCAGAAATGTGTATCATTTTCGCGCGTTAATTAGGCTATTAAAGCAAGTCGGGGCAAAAAATGTTTTTCACTCATCATTTAGCCCACATTGAGCTCTTTCTAATGGTAAAATTGATTTTTTCTGAAACCCCTAGACAAATTTCTGCCAACTTTCCGTAACGACGAGTGAAAATTCATGGTTTTTCCCGCAAACCAATGACGTCGTACTTCTCGATTTTTATATCAAGATTAGATTTGATACGCGTTTGATATTTGTTCACGGTCATATCTCGGTCAATATTCGTCATTGGATGATAATTTTTATAGTAAATGAAAGCTTATTACAAGGGTATTGCGCATGTGGATTAATCATTTCGACCCGATTAAATACCACCCAGCTACGGATACAAATGTGTTGACATTTTTTCAGTGAAATTCACTGAAAATGCAAAAATGTGTATCATATTCGCGTGTTAATTGGGCTATTAAATCTCGTCAGATTAAAAAATGTTTTTCACTCTACATTTAGCCCACAATAAGCTCTTTCCAATGGTATAATTGCTTTTTTCTGAAACCTCTGAAGACAAATTTCTGCCAACTTTCTGTAACGACGAGTGAAAAATCATGGTTTTTACTGCAAACCAATGGCGACGTCGTATTTCTCGATTTTTATACCAAGATTTGATACGCGTATGATATTTCTTCACGGTCATATCTCGGTCAATATGCATTAATGATTCATGAATCTAATACTACATAAAAGAGTATTACAAGCACATCGCATTGTTGGACTTATTACATATGATCCCATGGAATACAGCCAATTAAACCAGGTTTTTCTGTTACCGTTGATCTTCACGCCAAATGCGTAAATATCACTCGTTTTAGCGCATTAATTGAGGCATAAAACATATCCAGGAAAGAATGTGTTGGTCATCAGTAAGAATTCATTTCCAACTTTGAACAATGAAAGTCAAAATACCCGGCTTTTACTTTTACGTAGTGAGGTCGGCGGCCGTCTCTATTTCTCGATTTGTCCAATGAGGGAATTGCAATCATTGCTCGCTCTGTATTTAAATCTATTTTATATCATGACCGGCCAAAATGCCCTAATACGTCACTTCCGCTGAATAGAAAAAAGTAGTATTCAAAAATAAATGTAGTCCCAACACAATTGTGATCATGACGAGTAAGTAAGCTAGTATGTAGGCACAGTTGTAATCTTTTTGCAATGGCAACATGCCATTTCTTCTGAAAATGCGTTTATTTGGGTTATCTGAAGGAAAATTTCGAGTCAAGTGGCGTATTAATTTTGCCTTCATTTTTGTGAATTTCAATTTGTGTCTGCAGAGAGAGGGGGTAGTGTCACAATTGACCAATTATTTCAAAAAGTAGATGATTGGCCCCTATTGAGTTTAGTGTCAAGATGTAGCTTAGACATAGCTTTAGAACCTCAGATAGGCCAGTGAGGCCACATAAATCCATAACTCGAGATAAAAAGTCAGGCGTTTGCCCTTTTGCCCATTGACGAGTATGGTGACGTGAATTAGGGCAGTTTTGCCACCAGACACCGGATATCACGACGATGAATAAATGTCCGAATTAAGCGAATTATTTCGAAGGCATGTTTTATTCGAAAATGATCAGCATACGTATACATATTCATTCATAGCATAATGACCCGTGGTTAGTAGTCTCGGATGAGCTGTGAATGCCATCTATGCCCGGCCTCAATTCAACAATGAAGGTGCGCCCCTAAATCAACACGCAATTAAAAATCCTCCAATAAAACCGCTATCAGGCTATGCAAATATAAATTTTCAAAAACACTTATCTCGACAGATCAGTTTAAAAAAAGACATTGTACTGGTAATTTCAGCATTATGTTCCGAGGAGCCACTCACCAAATAGCTATAATTTGTTAATTGTGCATCCTCAGTCTGTCAGCCGCTTAGCGTATGGATCAGTGACGCTGACCGCATATTGCACCTTTTATAATTTGTAGCAGTTTGCACAACGTCGACGTGCAACTTGAGATTTCTTACTCTTGAGTGCAAGGAGGACTGGCTCTCAGAATTTCATTTCTTGTGAGTTTTGGAATGTTTCGTTTGGAAATAAGACCAAAATTCACGATTCAAATGTTGATGTGAACAAAATGGCGGTTGTTGGAATTCGAATCTTGAAGCACGACATCCCCATATATGAGACAGAATATGTGTGTTGCACTCTGGGAGGCAATCCTCTTTGCCCTTGGGAAAATCAATAGTGCATAGACTTTATTTATTTAAGAATTGAAAGGAAGTGAAGTTAACGATATATACAATTATACTTTCTGCCAAAAAAGCACATTAATTTCGTGGGTATTAAGGGACCGCGAGTTGTTTATAAAATGAAACTGGGGAGCTTGTTCGTACATTCCGCTTGTGTTTTTCATCTAAAAAATATCAATACACTTTAAAACACAATGTAACAATACTCGGGTGTTAATCCATATATAATCCTTGAAAATGAGAAATATTTTTTAGGATTATATGGTGCAAACTTAGTCAATTAAATGTTTTAAAGTGTATCATTCTACAAACAATTCGAGGTCCTTTACCCTACAAAACTCCCATACCCTTCTGTTTTCCTGGCGTTTTCACGAACCTTCCCTGTTCCACCTAACAAGACTCTTTCCCCCCATTGCTATACCCGTATACTGCCCATAGATCTGTGCACAGGAGTTTCACGCGGAAGATGAACTTATTCTAGGAAATATTGTGGAAAAATTACACAGCAAATCATTCCTCAACTATATACACTGACCGTTGAATGCAATTATTCATATATTTCATTTCATCAATAATCATAACATCATGACGCTAACATGCGAGCATGCTGACTTGGTTTTATTTCTAAAAATTAAGATATGTGCAGTAATATTCATAATATGCTAGGTTATAGAACAAGTACTTAGTAATATGTCTATGTGGAGATCAATTCTGAATAAAAAGAGGGGTGGACACCCAGAGCTTTAGCGATGACTGATATATTAGCCTCTTGCTACCACCTTTGTTTGCGCAAATTCTCACGAGTTAGTTTTCTAATATTACACGTTGGGTGATGTTTCTTCATCTTGATGTGAAAATCCAAGCTATGATATTTGTTAACACCCCAGAAATAACAGTATTATTTGAAGCGTTGTTAGAAAATTATTGGTTAACACCCCAGAAATAACAGTATTATTTGAAGCGTTGTTAGAAAATTTGAATCCGCAATTTTTGTTTATCGATTTGGACCAATCAGAGGTGTACGAATTGTACGTCATCTCAATACATGTTTACATTATAAGTGTAGTCATCTTTGAACTCTGGGGCTAATCCACCCCTCGGTTCTGAAATATATATGCATGAATACTCAGTTAACATGCGTATGGTAATATTTCTCAAATGTAAAGATTCAGTTCTATGTACATTCTCTCAATGACAAATAATGATCTAGACATTCTTATCAGAAGCTTATTCCATGGCTCAAAGGTTCAAACTAACAATTATGCTATTAGACAGTGTTGTGTATGTAGTGCAGAATCACAGAAGTGTAGTATAGCAGACAGCTCCAAGAGATACCTCAATCTCCAAATTCTTTATGGGTCAAGATTTACTACATCTTAAT